TTGGAATTGGTTGCGGTGGTGTTTGCATTAAAGCAATGGAGACACTATTTATATGGGGTTAAGTGTGAGGTCTATACGGATCATCGTAGCCTACAGTATGTCTTTACTCAGAAAGATTTGAACTTGAGGCAACGGAGATGGATGGAGCTACTAAAGGACTACGATATCACTATTTTGTATCATCCGGGGAAGGCGAATGTTGTGGCGGATGCTTTAAGTAGAAAAGCGGGAAGCATGGGAAGTCTAGCTCACTTGCAAGCCTCTAGACGCCCATTAGCTAGAGAGGTTCAAACTCTAGCTAACGACTTGATGAGATTAGAAGTAAATGAGAAGGGAGGATTGTTGGCTTGTGTGGAGTCAAGATCTTCCTTTCTTGACAAGATTAAGGGAAGGCAGTTTGATGATGAGAAACTGCACAGAATTCAAGATAAAGTATTGCGAGGAGAGGCTAAGGAAGCACAAATCGATGAGGAAGGTGTTTTGAGAATCAAGGGAAGGGTATGCGTACACCGCGTCGATGATTTGATCAACACTATTCTGACAGAGGCTCATAGTTCAAGGTATTCTATACATCCGGGTGCAACCAAGATGTATCGTGACCTAAAACAACACTTTTGGTGGAGTAGAATGAAGCGTGATATTGTTGACTTTGTTGCTAAGTGTCCAAACTGTCAACAAGTAAAGTATGAACACCAAAGGCCCGGAGGAACACTTCAGAGAATGCCCATTACGGAATGGAAGTGGGAAAGAATTGCAATGGATTTTGTGGTTGGTCTTCCGAAGACAATGGGTAAGTATGACTCCATTTGGGTGATTGTTGATAGGTTAACTAAATCTGCTCATTTCATTCTGGTCAAGGTGACTTACAATGCAGAAAAGTTAGCCAAACTTTACATCTCGAAAGTAGTGCGATTGCATGGGGTTCCACTATACATCATATCAGATCGAGGTACGCAGTTTACTTCCAAGTTTTGGAAAACATTGCATGCGGAATTGGGTACTAGGTTGGACCTTAGTACTGTGTTCCATCCTCAGACCGATGGTCAGTCTGAAAGGACGATTCAAGTGTTGGAGGATATGCTTCGTGCATGTGTGATAGAGTTTGGTGGCCATTGGGATAGCTTCCTACCCTTAGCGGAGTTTTCATACAATAATAGCTATCACTCAAGTATTGATATGGCCCCATTTGAAGCATTATATGGGAGGAGATGTAGGTCTCCCATTGGTTGGTTTGATGCATTCGAGGTTAGACCTTGGGGTACTGATCTTTTGAGGGATTCGGTGGAAAAAGTGAAGTCTATTCAAGAAAAGCTTCTAGCGGCGCAAAGTAGACAAAAAGAATATGCAGATCGAAAGGTTAGAGACTTAGAGTTCATGGAAGGTGATCAAGTCTTGTTGAAAGTTTCGCCCATGAAAGGGGTGATGCGGTTTGGAAAAAGGGGTAAACTAAGTCCAAGGTACATTGGACCATTTGAAGTACTCAAGCGAGTAGGAGAGGTGGCTTATGAGTTAGCCTTGCCCCCAGGGCTGTCCGGAGTACATCCGGTATTCCATGTGTCTATGTTGAAAAGATATCATGGGGATGGAAATTACATTATCCGTTGGAATTCAGTTTTGCTTGATGAGAACTTGTCTTATGAGGAGGAGCCTGTTGCTATTTTAGATAGAGAAGTTCGCAAGTTGAGGTCAAGAGAGATTGCGTCCATCAAGGTACAATGGAAGAATCGACCGGTTGAAGAAGCCACTTGGGAGAAGGAGGCGGATATGCGAGAAAAATACCCACATCTGTTTACAGATTCAGGTACTCCTTTTCGCCCTTGTTTTCCTCCTTTTGATCGTTCGGGGACGAACGATGGGTAAATTGGTATCTAATCTAGATTGGTTGGTTCGCTCACATAGGAGGGTAAGTGTGGGTGCCAGTCGCGGCCCGGTTTTGGGTCGTGACATAAATAGTAATTGATACCCAGTATCAAATGGAAAAGGGTCTAAAATACCCTCAAAGTATTCAAAATGGTACAAAATTACCCTTCATCCACCTATTGGCTCCAAAATGCCCTTCTCACCCACCTATTGGGTCCAAAATACCCTTGTCATCCACCTTTTGGTTCAAAATTGACCACTTATTTAACGATTTTATATTTAAACTATTTAATTTTTTTTTAAATACGTGGCGCTCAACTATTTGTTATAATTTAACTTATTAGTGTAATTTATAAATCAATCCACTACCCACCCATTACTAATTAAATTCCTCTAAATTAATGAACCTGTCACATTACTAATGCAAGCTACTGCCAATTGAGTGTTTTTAAAAAATATTGAAGTAAATTATCATACATTCAAGTGGCTACATAAAAATCACCGATAAACTTAAAAGTCTGACTATATTCATCTTAATTATTCTTACGTCTTAATTATGTGATGTTACTTCATAGGTAACTTTTTTTCAAAATAATATATTAAAATTTTTAAAATAAATCATAAATATTTATAAAATTATATTTAAAAAAAGTGCATGAATTAATTCGGAAAGTATTACTTCTTTACCTTTAATCATAAAATTCTAATTCAATTTTAAAAGAAAGTGTCCTCCTAAATAAGCGGCTCAACCTAAATTTAATTGGGGCTTCGATTTGGACTCGAATAATTTTGAATGTCATTTTTAGTAATCTATATTTCATCGTGTTTTAGTAGTGTTTATGATGATTTGATATTATAATTGAATTATTAATTGAGTGGGGTTTAGTTAGTAATGAGTGCGTAGTGGATTGATTTATAAATTATATTTATAATTAATAGTTGAGCGCCAAGTATTTAAAAAAATATTTAAAGAGTTTAATTTTAAAACAATTATAAAATGGTCAATTTTGAACCTAAAGGTGGATGACAAGGGTATTTTGGAGCCAATAGGTGGATGAAAAGGGTATTTTGGAGCCAATAGGTGGATGAAGGGTAATTTTGTACCATTTTCAATACTTTAAGGATACTTTAGGCTCTTGTCAAAATAAATAACTTTTTAGAGAAACACTCTAAAACTTGAGTACAACTATCTTAAAACAATGAAAATAAAAAATTCTAAAACTAGAGTTAACGTATCTCAAAAATAATAACACTATAAAAAAAGTGCCTAAGAATTCATAGATAATATCAATTCAACATTAACTAAATTGTCTTGAGCTAGTGCTATGAATTGACTCTTAGGCCTTAGTTGATACTTAATGATAATAAATAGTAATTGATACCCAATATCAAATAATGTTGTATACAATTTAACAGATTTTTAAATCTACTATAAAATGTAACATTGTATATTCATAATATGATCTTTAAATATCACGTGTTCAACAATTTTAGACTATGATACATTGTTCTGCAGTTTACACCCATAATATAATTTGAACTTTAGTCTTTGATATATTGAACATAAATATCAATCAATGGACTAAATTCCGGGTCTTATTTGTAACAAACTGATATTTATTTGCATCTGATATAAAATGTAAGATCATATATTCATTAAATGTAAGTAAGTATCATATATTCAACTATTTTAGATTATGATACATTGTTATGGATATTACATTCCATCGTATAATTTGAACTTTAACCTTTGATACATTTATCATAATATGTCAACAAAATAGATTACAATTTAGGATTTAATATGTAAATGCGAAATTTAAACAAGATACATAACAATATGATATTATATCTTCAGCAATAATATATCAAATTTAAAGCAACTAACAACAGGGAAAGACAAAAATTTAAAACAGTGAAATAGATACTAAATGAACTGATATACTTGAATATCTTGATATAAATATATAAGTCGAATATATTAATACAAATATATATCAACAAATAAATACATTTGATTACTTTGGTACAAAAAGTACAATAGTGAATTGATACCCTTAAATATATTGATACAAATATCTCATAATGAAGAAAATACATAAAAATTTCACCAGAAACAACAAAAATACATCTCGATCTAAAAAAAATAAAAAATACATAAACATGTTGTAACACATACGAAAAATGAAATACACCCATAAACATAGTCTATTAAAAACTCATTTGATCTCACAAAACAAATAAAAAAAAATACACAACCGTAGTTAGAATATTATGGTACAACGAAGATGATGAAGGAAGAAGAGGTTGAAAACAACAATGACTGTAGAGAAACCATGACTAGAACAACTCAAAAAAATACAAACAAAAAAGAAGTTATTTAATGTGAGATATTCCAAATCATTGGAGATTCACGTTTACAATCGAAATCGATTTGAAAAAATTACTAAAAGATGGAGCCTGATTCATATGTATCAAGAACAAAAATTGAACAATTTTTTTTTAAAGAAGAAGAAAGTGATGAAGCACAATCTCTACTTACTCATTGTGTTTGAAATAGATTGATAAAAGAAAAAATGTTTTTGAAAATAAAATTGATTTAGAAATTGTAACTGCTAAGAATGTGGAGTGAATTTAAGGAGTGAAAAAAGAAATAATAAAAGTGGGTTTGGCTGATAGATTAATGTATCAAAAATTTATAAAATAGAAAAAAATAAGAAATTTATGAAATATTTTTAAAAGATAGGGATAAATAGAGAGTAAGATAAGTTAATGTGTGTATATAAGTAATTTTTTCTAAAAAAAATTAGTCATATATATATATATATATAAATCATAAAATTTTCTGAAAATTAAACAGTACCCGAGATTATGGAAATCCATGCAAAAGCTTGAAACCAAATTATTTGAACAATTGAGCCCAAATACATGTTGAATCCGGCCCACGCAGATTTCCTTTTACAAATTTCTACACATTGGTCATTGAACTCTCTACACTTCCTTTTCCAAAAATATTGTCTCATACGTTTCCTACTTATTTCTTTCTCCGGCGACCTCCTAACGATTCCTTCCTCCGGCGATATCGACTTTGTATGTTCTCTCTCTTTCTCTCTATCGATTCTCAACTGTTGCAATGCTTTGTGTCTGCTCCGATTGCGCTAACTATAGTTCATTTCTGATTATGACAGCTGTCTCTGGCTGTCACCACTTATTAAATAGCTTAAATGAATCCAGTGATGTTTTTTACTTGTTGTGATTCTTAATAGCTAGATTACATCCTTTTTATGTGAATCAGAAGTCGTGATGTTTGTACTAGTCTGCTACTGTGCATCACTGATCCATCTTTTGGATATTTCTCCAAAAATAAAAGGGGGAAACAGAAGAAGAACAAGGATTAGGCTATAAGATGTATCTAAACTTGCCACTGAGTAATTCCAAATCAATTTTGTGGATATATCTCACTAAATATAAGAAAAAGGCTGTGAAATTCTAATCATTGTAAAACATGTATATTTATAGGTCTTCTAATCTTCCATTTGGTAACTTCCTCACTGGAAAATAGGAGAAAGAAAAGGATACATAATTGAGATATTAAAGCCATTGTAATGAGTTTGACTAGCTGATTTTTAATCCTACTTTATGAACCTCAAGATCAACAAGAGCCAACCAACCATAGATACAAGACAAGGGAAGACCTTGCTCGACCAAATGAATGTAGCAGCATGTATATTTAGAGATGGGAACATGATTCAGAGTTGCGATGATGTACTAAACTAACCAATGAAATCAATCAATCCATTGTCTCAACACAAAGTAAAGTTGTGATCTGCTATATTTTTAATCGGGGGTGTCAAATGGGCGGGTCAAAATAGGTCGAGTTGAGCTAAAATTGACCCAAAAGTTACTTAGGTCCTGATCCGCCCAACTTTACTCAATCTTCTTTTTTTTTTTTGATAAGGTAAAAATTAATTGACTAAATACCCAGAATCTACCAAAACCAAAAGTTACAAAAGACTGCTGGGATTATTCATAAAGTCAATTACAACATGTCTTAGTGCCCACCTTTTGTTTTCTTTTGGTACTTTATTCTTAATAATGAAACTTCACTTTCATACCCTACCAAAATAAATGAAGAAGGGTAACTCTAAACTGGAAACCACGTCAAAATTTAAGGTTCCTGCAACATTTAAATTTAAGAAGGACAGGATCTGTTTAGTTCTTGACCTCGAGACTAGCAAGCTGGACATAGAAACTTAAGTCATCACTTAGTTTGTCCTACCCAAGAAAAAGGAAGGCAAAAGCAAAACCTCATTGCTAGTTTCAAAATAGACAATAACTGAATATCCTTGGCCCGTTTAGTTAAAAACATCATGACAGGACACAAATTAATGCAGCTTGCTTTTACATTATATGTGTATTCGAATATACAACTGAAACATACTTCAAAACTTTTGCTATATAGGATGAGAATTAGTCCCTTATTTATTCAATTGTTCACTACATAAAAAAGCTTGTGAATCTTAATTGTGGAATCCCAATAGAGGTGGCTAGTAAATAAACTTCTCATAAGCAGTGTTGTTAAAAGCGCAAAAAAGCGCGCTTCAAAGCGAGGCGATCCTTGTGCGCTTTTTTAACTTGAGGCGAGGCGATTTGAAAAAAGCACTCGCTTCAGAGGAAGAAGCGAGAAGCGACGCTGAGGAAAAAGCGCGCTTTTTATAAAAAAAGCGACAATTAGGTTTTTTTAAAAAAAATCTGAAATATAACTTCTCTCTCCTCACAACTCTTCTTTCCCTTCTCTCCTCGCGACTCTTTTTCCCTTCTCTCCTCGCGACTTTCTTTCCCTTCTCTCTCCTGAAGCTCTCGACTGAGGCTGCTGGCTGCCGCCCTTCTTTTTCTCGTGAAGATCTCGACTGAGGCTGCTGGCTGCCTCCCTTCTTTCTCTCCTCAAGATCTCGACTGAGGCCTGCAGGTAATTTGTTCATCTATTTCTTCTTCTTCTTCTCTTCTTTTCTTCATCTCTATTCTCTGCTGCCTGCTCTTTTCTTCTTAGTTCTTACTGACTGCTGCCTCTTTTTTTTTTCAATTCTTTTGTTTTTTTTTTAATTTTGTGATCAGTGTGTATGCTAGGAGCCTTTTTTTATTATTTTCTGAAACTTCCTTTTGTTTGTAGTATTTTGTGATTTAATTATGCTTTTGATTTTTTGCTTTATATGTTATGACTTGTGAGTATTTTTGCCTAAGTAATTTCTTTCAATCTAAGACTATATTACCTCTTTTTAGTTATTTAATATTTTTTTATTTTTATACTAAATGTCGCTTTTTTTAAAAAAAGCGCGCGCTTCGCTTCACGCTTCTTGCTTCTGTGAAGCAAGCCCTTGTCGCTTTTTTCCGCTTCTCGCTTCCCAAAACACTGCTCATAAGAAATCTTTTGCTCCCATTACCACTGGAGAATCCAACAAATGCATGCAGTTATGTAATGATGAACTGTAGTTTATCTGTACATGCTCAGGCAATTAATGTTTTAACTTAATGTTCTTTTTTGGGTTCAAAGTAGACTTCCAAAGCTAACTCAGGTTCTTCTCTCTAGCTCACTGTCTTTTCTTTTCCAATAGCTAATAGTTCTTTCATTCTCTGTTTTCTTAATTCAGGAGCAACACTTTTGGTTAATCTACAGGAGCAAAGCTGACCTTGTTTTGGTTTTCATAGCAGTTCAATGGGCACTATCTGAATCATCCTTATATGTAGTGATAGTTGTAATGTAAAACAGTCAAAATACAAAGTTCCTGTAATCTATAACTTTGTTATATTTACTTGATCTGTGCAATTTTAAAGAAGTATGATGACCTGAAATGGATTGAGGCCTTCCGTATCTCTTCTTTCCCTCTTGAATTTAGAAATTATAACTGTTCATTGGTTATTTTAGAAAGAATTTGGCATCTTTAACTTGTGTTGTTTGATTGACTGAGCTCTGAGAAATTGTCTTACTACTTCATCAAATGGAGAGCTTAGCGCACCTTGAAGCATTGTGTGAGAGGCTTTACAATTCACAGGATTCTGCTGAGCGAGCTCATGCAGAGAATACACTAAAATGCTTCTCAGTTAATAGCAGCTATATTTCGCAATGTCAGTATATTCTGGATAATGCATCAACTCCTTATGCATTGATGCTGGCTAGTTCAAGCTTATTGAAGCAAGTGACAGAACAGTACCTATCTTTGCAGACCCGGCTTGATATTCGTAATGTTCTAGTTTGACTGCAGATTTTCCTATGTTTCTATAGTTGTTTCTTCTCACTCCCTCCCCCCCCCTCCCCCCCCCCACATTTGTTTTTCCTTGTCTGTATATTATTTGCAACTTACTTTAAAGCTGCTTTGGTATGCCATCATTATTTCTCATGAAGTTAAAGAGTATATGAAGGTAAGCGTAGGTGTATGTTGGCATCATATTTGCTATTTGAATAAGGAAGAAGGTGAAAGTTCAGGCTGTCACTTATTCTTTCACTTTTATGCTTGGGGATCTGTGTTTTTCTGCTTGAATATTCTGCTGCGTGTAGACTTGTAAAGGATATGCCTACCAAAATTTAGTAACGCTGGAAAAGGGATTGCTAAGTTGAACCATTACAGTGGAAGATCTTGGGTATCTTCTACTTCACATTTTGGAATTTAACCTAGTCGTGCTAATTTTATGCTTTTGATGCTTCTACGGTTGTGAAATACTTATTACATATCTCTCTTTCATACATTACTACATGTTTTAGCTAATCTGCTCCTTTTATGAAGGCAACTATCTCATAAATTACCTGGCAACAAGAGGAATTGACCTGGAGCCTTTTGTAACTGCATCTTTGATTCAACTGTTTTGCCGAGTTACGAAGTATGGGTGGTTTGAGGATGACATTTTTAGAGAGGTGGTCAAAGAATCCACAAGATTTCTGAATCAGGTAATGATGTTTAATATCTTTAACCTCTACTGTACATATAAGGATGGGTGTTGCGCCAGATGATTGGTTAAGGACCTTTTAAAGCTTTATTGCTTATAACTGGTGTGTGAAAATTCATGCCGTTACGATTCTATAGTTTGAATGTATGTGACTTCATATAGAATCTCTTTACTGTGGTCTTCCTGTTTTCATTCTCTTTGAAATTGCAAGTAACTATGTCTATACTATATTAATTTTCGGCCATGCCTCTTTTTTCGCTGGAAATTTCTGAGATATCATTTCGCGTAGTTGACTTGGTGTTGGCTGAAACTGGTCCTCATGGTTGAGTTGAGTCTTTACTTTTCTCTTGTTTTTTTCTAGCTATATTCAATATTCATAGCTAATATAACCTGCAGAATGGTTTCATCTGATTCGTTCCATCATTTGATATTATTGGTTAGTCAATTGGGTGACAATCGTAAGGTGATTGGATTTTGTGTCTGATATGTTATCAAATCTTGGCGGGAACCTATGTTGCTGAGATCCTTCAAAAGAAAAATAGTGCACTTTTGGAGGATCAACACGTTTGTGACGGACATTTTGGCGAATCCGATCAGTGTAGATGGAACATGACAACTAAAGAATCCGTACATACATGAGAATACCACAAGCAAAAGGGTAACTCACATGAAGGACGACCTAGATAAACTAAGAATCACCAGTGAAGGTCATAGAAACTCAATATCGGTCAACAAAATTATTGAAGCTTTAACAATTATTTACAAATAGAGAAGGTATAAAAGTGTGAGAAATGATGGTATGACTTTGATTATTCCCTCAAGCATAGTATTTATGTATGTAGCAAATTTGGTGAACTATGTTTATGCTTCGTAAAATTCCAAAGGAGATTGACAAAATATTAAAGGTAGAGGAATAAAGATCTACACATGGTGTTCGTTGAAATGGAGAAACATGAACTAAGTGTTATGCTCGAAAGCATAGAGGAAAACTATCATAGATATCTTGAGTCTATTATCCAAGCTAGTGGGAAGATTGATGATGATGTCAGCTGTCGCACACCATATTGGTGTAGGGTGGATGAAATGGAGGCTCACATCTAGAGTCTTATGTGATTAGAAGGTCCCATCAAAAGTTAAAAGCAAGTTCTATAGAGTGGTGGTTAGACCATCTATGTTGTATGGAGCGAAGTGTTGGACAATTAAGAACTCTCACGTTCAAAAGATGAAAGCTGTGGAAATGTTGGTGCTCTAAGAATGTGTGGCTTATTAGGAGAGATAGAATTATAAATGAAGATGTTTCGGTCAAGGTGGGAGTGGCCTAGGTGGAGAGGGGACCAAATGCAGAAAATGTGGCTAAAATGGTTCAGACAAATGAAGAAAGATGCATGGATGCTCCAGTGTGGTGGTGTGAGTGGTTGGCTATGGATCGTTTTAGAAGAGGTAGAGGTAGGCTGAAGAAAGTGTTGGAGAGAGGTAGCTGACCTTCCCTACCCAAACTTCATTCCAGAATGCAGTTTTTAGACCATTAGCAACACCAATCGAGATGTTATTGAAGTAAGACCAAAGTCTCCTGATTGTTTTCCAGACTCTACAACCAAATGTCCCCATGACTTCTTCAGTTATCCAATGGCTAAGTAAGCCGTACTTTTGTGCTATGTACCTTCTCCATAAGTCCCCATCTTTAGTGCAAAATCTCCATTATTACTTTTGTAGAACACAACTGTTCTTGTTGCTGAGATTCTTTAGTCCGAGACCCCCTTGTTCTCATCTAAGGTTAAGAATATCTCATTTCACCAAATTTTAGCCTCTCTTCTCCTTATTCCTTGCCATAGGAATGTTCTTCTTAGTCTATTGATTCTCTTTTCTACGGTTTTAGGAATAGGAAATAAACTCATCAGGTAGGTAGGAAGACCATCAAGTACTGCTTTAGTAAGTGTCAGTCTGCGATCCAAAGATAAATACTGACTCTTCCACCTTGATAGTTTTTTTTAACACATCTTTTTAGCGCCTACCTCCGTATCTCCAAATTTCTATTCTTAGAACCTAATGGCATACCCAAGTATTTGGTTGGTAGGGATCCTGTTTGGCAGTCCTAGTTATGTGCTAAGCATTGCAAGTTGTCATATAGACCTGAAATGCCTTCAAAAGTTGTTAGAATTTCCCTTAGATGTTTAAATTTGGAGCACCTATGAGCACAAATATATGAGGGCCTCATCTGTATAAATTGGATAGGTGATTTCCAACTCATTTCCCATGCATGTTTGACACTGAAATCTTTTATCCAGCCATTAGTTTTTGTTATCCTGAACATATGATTCAGCCCCTCCGTTGCAATTAGGAATAGTAATGGAGACAGACGCCCCCCTTGTCTAAGACCTCTATGTGATTGGAAGAAACCCTCAATATTCTCATTATAATGAGAGAAAATTTCACACTTGAAAAATGCAAAATCTAATCCAGCTAATGCACCTATTCCAAATCCCATGTCCTATAGAATTTTTAGGAAGAAATTCCAATTGGCAGTCATAGGCCTTCTCACATTGCTTGATGATCTGTACCACCTTTGCCTCTGTTAATGGGGTCTGGAGCCACTCATTTTCTTCCACAGAGATTGTAGGACATCCTTCCACGTCAAAGGAGGGTCTCCATAGTTCAGATTCCAAGTACAAATTGAAATAGAACTCTATCATTGCCTCTTTGGTTTCTTTGGGTTCCTGCACTTCCTCACCTCACCATGTGTTTGTCAGGAGTATTACATCTCGTGTGAACTATAGCCACTCTTTGGAAGAATCTAGTGTTCTTATCTCCTTGCTAACAAAGGGTTCTAGATTTCTATCTCCAGTCAGCTTCTTCATGTTTAGCCTGAACTTCCAAGTCCACCAGTATTGTAGCCCTTATTAACACTTCATCCTAAGATAGAAGCCTATCCTCCTAAATTTTGTCAAGCTCAGATAGTTCCTCTATGGGATTGTTTTCCTTATGTCTAGTTCAGAAAAGGTCCTCTTACTCCATTCTTTTAGCTTTTTCTTTAGCATTTTATGTTTGACCCCTAATCTGTAACCAGGGTATCCTTCAACAACAAAGCTACTTCACCAATGCTGCACCAATCCTTAAATACATCCACTTTGAGGCTTGAGCCACCATTTTTCGAAATTGAAGTAGGTCTGTCTGTGTTCCACTTCTCCACATTCAAGAAATATAGGACAATGATCTGAGCCTATCACTGGTAGAGTTCTTTGTTTGATGCTTTTGAAATTTTCCTTCCATTCCATAGAATTTTAAAATCTATCCAACCTAGCAATGCTTTGGTGATTGGCTCGCCTGAACCAAGTGTACCTCCCATCCACCAGAACTGGATCATGCAAATCTAGATCCATCTAGAGTATTCAGACATTATGTTTCTGTGTCTGTTACATCCCCTTCTCTCCACTATATGCTGAGCTGTATCACCTCTGGGATAATTCTGACAGGTCTCCTTCCCTCTCTTACATTTATCAAGCTTATGTATCTACTATTTTTGTTGAAATTACTGACAGAAAAGATATAGAGGCTCTGTTTTCTTCCACCATCAGACAATGTTTCCGCTCCTTGGTGCCTCCTTCAGTGTCTTCACTATCCACTCCATTGCCTTCTTATTGAAGGGTGTTTGCCTGATGGAGTTCGTACTCCTTTCCGTCCATTTGTATCATTTGCCTGAGATCCTTGATAAATTTTCTATGTCGAAGGTTTTGAACCCTACCGCAAAACAGATGGTGTTATCCATCATTTACAATAGAGAGTTCTGAAAGAGAAGATTTTTTTTGGGGGGGGGGGGGTTGGGGGTGGGTGGGTGAAGGAAAGCCAGGAAAAATTTCAAAATTGTATTCAGAGTCGTGCCTGAGAGAGCAAACTTACGCCTTCTTCTTCAACACATCGCTCGGGAGGAACTTCTATTTCTTGGTCATTGGCGGCATATTGACTTGCAGAGGAAAGAAGGCTGTCAGAGATGATGAGGAAGCAATATTGAGGCCTGATATTGTCATTGGAAGACCTCTGGCACAACACGTGCCTAGGATTTCAATTCAAATTTGCCTGGTCGCTTCTTGGGTTCACAACTTAGACAACCAGACAATAGGGCCCAAAATGAAGTTGGACCTTTTGAAAATGCCAAAACGTTGTGTCAGCAGAATGGATGTGGAAGAAGATGAAGCTAAATTTCGACCGGTGGAAGCTGACTATGGATTGTTGGCCAGTAGAAGTAAGAAGAGTGGTGTGGATCAGATTATTAGGTCTTCCCATGAGCATGTGATCGCAAAAAATGTTTTAGCAGACGGAAGAGGAGACTTGTCTCAAGCACCACTTACACTGGGCTCGCATCTAAGGGGTGAAAGGGGATGGGAAGAAGGTGTGAGGGGAGATAGAGGTGACAAACGACGGATTAGTTCACACAATTCTGATCTGGTTGGAAATACTGATGACTGTGAAAGAAGAGGAGGGGAAGAGAGAAGAAAAGGGCTTCAACCTCATGGATAGTAAAGGAAGGAAGTTTTCTTTGGCGAAAGAACCAACAAAAATATTGTGAAGTTCATAAATCATGTCATAAACTGAATCATATCATAAATCATATTATGACATGAGAATCGTATCATAAATAGTAAACTGATACTCCCTCTCTGATCACATAGCCGTGGAAGGGCCGAGTAACTTGATCAACACAGCAAAAGGGAAAGGATGGATCAAAGGATTCCAAGCAGGAGAATTGAACAACTTGGATAACTCACCTTCAATATGCAGATGATTCATTGGTGTTTCGTGAAGCAAAAAAAGACCAAATCTTGATTTTGAGGATTACTTTTGTCATTTTTGAGGCAGCCTCAGGACTCCATATCAATTGGGGAAAGAAATCTATCTATCCTATCAACACTGTGACAGGGATGGAAAGATTGGCTAGTAAGCTAGGAGGCAAGATTGGGAAACTTCCAACAACCTACCTAGGCATGCCTCGGGGAGCAAATAGCAAGTCCAAAGGTATTTAGAGTGGGTCCTAGAGGAAATGTGAAAAGAAACTCACCAACTGGAAAAGTCAGTACCTCTCCTTGGGAGGCAGACTAACTTTAATCAATAGTGTCCGTGATGCACTACCTTCCTATATGATGTCAGTATATCCAATGCCTGCAACTGTATCTAAGAGCATTGATGCCCTTAGGAGACATTTCCTATGCAAGGAAGTGAAGACAAAGAAATTCCACCTAGTTAAATGGGAGGAGCTGATAGTGAACAAGGATATATCTGGCCTAGGCATCAGGACTTAAGGAAGCAAAACCAAAGCCTCTTGTTGAAGTGGCTGTGGAAATTTGTCCATGAACATCATATGCTTTGGAAGGAGGTCGTCATAGCAAAGTATGGTATGGAGGACAAGTGGATGACAAAAGTGGTTAACACTCCATACAACTGCACTGTATGGAGAGCAATCAGGAACCTGTGGCCTTTGTTGTAATTCAGATCTAGAATCAAAGTGAGAGATGGTCAAAAGACCTCCTTCTGGGAGGACAAACGGAATGGAGCAACACCCATGAAACAGCTGCATCCGGAACTATACATGTTATGTCAACAACAACAGGCAACAGTGGCCACAAAGTGGACTGTTCAAGGCTGGAATTTGTTCCTAAGGGGACACCTAAATGACTGGAAAATAGAGAAGGTAATTGCACTCCAGAATTCAGTGGATAATGTTAGCAATCTTACTGAGGAGAAGGACTCACTGGTTTGGTAGAGTGAATTCATGATAAATATTGGTCAATTCAGCATATAGGGCACTCAACAAGACTACAGACCAATAGACAGACTGGCCATGGAGGATGATCTGGAAACCAAAAGTGCCCTACAAAGTGAATGCCTTTTGTGGTTGCTGTCAAAAGAAGCAGTTCTGACCCATGAAAATCTGAAGAAAAGAGGATACTCAATTTGCCTCTAGATGTACTCTATGTGGAGAGCAAGCAGAGACAATCAACCATCTTTTTTTACACTGTAGGTGGACTGAGTAGCTATGGAGAATGTTCATTTGCCTGAAAGGAATTACGTGGGTGAAACCAGGAATCATCAAAGGTGTTCTAAGTAGCTGGATTAGGAATGGCAATGCTTCAAAGGAAGATAGATGGAAGTTTTTCCCAACATGCGTTTGGTGGACAATTTTGAAAGAGAGGAACAATAGGAGCTTTGAGAATGTACTGAGTAGCCTTCAGCAGATTAAAATGAATTGCTTAGCTCTTTTCTATTTTTGGTGTAAACAAGATATTTTAGCTAGAACAGAAGACATCTTTGATGTACTAGATCTTTTATAGGCATCAATTAATTAAGTCAAAGATTTTTTAAGATGTAATATTTTTTTTGAAGGGGGACTACACTTTTGGTTGTAGTATACCTGTGGATATCTATAGACTAATGTTACCAGCCTCAAAAATAGTAAAGTTCTACCGTTGAGAAAAATCATGGTGTTCATACTTGTCATAAAAAATCATCAGAAATCACGATTCATAGTTGTAGAGTCATATTGTAAGTAAAATCCTTAATAGGAATCATCAAACTCAGTTTTAAAGAAAATCATACTTTTCATATAACTTTGCATTTGCTGCTTATCCCACACTTCCGGTTGACCTCGAGGCTGTGATTGCGGTATGTGATTAGTTTTTGTTACGTAATTGTTTGCAAAGAAATCCCTAATAGAGTTCACAACAAAATTGCAATTATGTAGCAGAGTACAGAAGAAGATGATATTGATGTGAGTGACGAATTAACAAGACTGATATTTAGGGAGTATCAGAATCTTTTCAAGAGGTCTCTTGCAGAATACAAGTAAAATATGATGTGGAATGTACAAACTGATTTATTTTGGTTATCAGACTTTTTTCATCATTTTTGGCACAATTGTACTTATTATTCTCATCTTTTAAGAGGGTTTAAGAATGTTCATAACTTTTTTTTTTTATTGGATGTCCAAGTTTTTGGTGAGAACAGAATGTGAGCTTATAGTCTGTGAAGATTGATGGATTTTTGTGTGTCGCCTTCTCTTTCTCTTTAATTTTAGTGTATGACTTGCTATTTTTCCTTCTTCCCGTAATTTTCTACAACTTGCACTAGTATATTGCCAATTTGGTGATAAGTTTCTAATAGATTTTTTTGTGATGTGTGCTATTATGCCTCAGACAGAATCTCATTATGCAACTGGTTTGAAGATATTGAATCAACTCGTGTCAGAGATGAATCAGGTTAGTATTTCGTTATATTTCTTAATATGACTTTAACTGACTGATGTCATGTTCCTGTCAAAATTATGTAGATGAAATTTAAGAAGGGTATCCTATGTATTAGTCGAGGTGCACAAAAGCTGGCCCGAATACCACGGTTATCAAAAAAAAGAAAGAAAGGGAAACTAGCAAAGGAGATATCATGTGATATTTCAACTGCTACAGTTGTGAGCTTTTAAAAATATGTTGGTGCCGAATGACATATCCTAAATCTCCTAATGGGTTGTCTATTTCTGGGGTGTTACAATTTATGTACATAAAAGATGTTCGCTATCTAGTAACTCTTTTAAAGTGATTTTGTCAGAAGTCTTCTAACATGCAAAGGTCCCCAGATTTTGACACTGATATAGTATTGCTTTTTGTTCCCCCTTTGCTGTCAAATTACTTGATTGTATCTTATTAATTCTACTTTTTAGTCAAGCTCCTGGTTTAATTCAGGCGACTCTTGAGATCTTTATTTTGGAATTTAGTTTTATATATGAGTTGAAGAGAGAATTATCAGCTGAATCTTAAGTTGCTAGTTGTTGCAATTTTATAGCTAGGTACTTTTTCTTATGATTTCTAGTATTCTGATATGGACTTAATAAATGGGTAGATTTAAGTCTTTAACCTCCTCATTCTTTGAATCAGCCAGTTCATACAGCTAATAAACTTGTGTGGTTATACATTTTCTTGATTGCAAAATATCCAGCCCAGTCCTGGATTGCCATCAGCACAGCATCGTAGGGTGGCTTGCTCCTTCAGAGATCAATCGCTTCTTCAAGTATTCCAAGTATCCTTGACATCAATGGCCCAACTGAAAAATGATGGTAATACTCCATCAGATACAGTCATAATTGTGATATTTGACATTGTTATGTGCAATTTGTTATCTTACTGTTGTTGCTTGTTCTTAATATGCAGTAAAAGTTCCTAAGAACGCGGCTAGCAGCAAACTACATGAACTGGCGCTTGCTCTGTCCCTGAAATGTTTATCATTCGACTTTATGGGAACAACGGTTGATGAAAGTTCTGATGATTTTAACACTATTCAGGTGGTTTTATCTTCTATAACATATATTTATCAAGTTGTCTAACATACCTGCAAATATCATGTTGCTCACTTAACATTGTTGCAGATCCCATCTTCATGGAAGCAAGTCCTGGAGGATCAATCAACGGTGCAGATTTTTTTTGACTATTATGAAATCAATAAGCCAAACATATCGAAGGAGGTCAGTGTCATACTGTTTCTGGTGCCTTAAAGTAGAGTTTTTGCTTCATTGTTGTCACACATTTAAATCATGTGACTGGTGGTTTGAAGAATTTGATTGATTTACTAAACTGTTGTCAAGAATGCTCTTTTCAGTCATCAGTTCAGATTCTCAAACTTGAAGCAGTAAATTGACAAGTGTAACAAGCTTAATTGTCTCAGGCTTTAGAGTGTTTAGTCCGTCTGGCTTCAGCGAGGAGATCTCTGTTTTCAAATGACACTTCTAGAGTGAAATACTTGGCACACCTGATGACAGGAACCAAAGACATTATGCAAACTGGGAAAGGTGAACAGGATTATTGTATTTCAATTATGTTGGTTATCTTTATAGACATCATAATCATATCAGATAACATTAGTTGTGGGTTTTATATAAATTTGTAGCTCAGGATTGGCCTCTCGATTTTCTGTTATTCTCTCCTGGTGTTTTATTTTATTTATCTTTTCAGTTCTTTGGTTATCTAGACGATTTCTTTCGTAGAGTGGCGTTTTATTAAATTTTACGTTTTGTATTGCTATGTTTCTGTATAAATCTGGTATGATAATATCATATCCAACTCTGCTTGGCCATTGAATTTGCAGAGACTTGTTCTGGTCTTGACTGAGGATAGATACATTTGGCCTACAGAAGCCTAACATAAAACATCTGTGGTGCTTATCCATCTTGAAGTCCGTTTGAGGCAGTGTCTCTTTGGAGTTAGAATCCCTAAGTGTAGACGCCTAACATGTTAACATCCATCTTGGATCTTTTTGTGATAAGTAATACAGTAAATTTTTGTTGATGATCTGGGAAAACCCTTTATACCAGAACCTACAAGATGAAGACATACTTTCCAGCAAATGACACACATCATCTGTACCAGCAAGAATCTCATTGGGGCTCCAAATTTTGTTAAAAATAAAGGGAATTTCCCTTATATGTGCAAAGCGAAGTCCCATAAAAACTTGTCCTTTCTTTTTTTTGGTTCACAGTACCCAAATAAGTGCTGGGGGAGCGACAATCTAGGTCTGCTTTTCCATTACACCAACTGCTAATGTTTGGTGGTAAAGCTCTTAAAATGAAGTTTATAACTAACAATATCCATTTTAAGTATTAAAAACGTTGATAAAGTAGCAGATCTCATTTTAATGCCATCTTGCTGCTGTATTTTTCTATTTACTTGTAATTATCAATGGGTGCAGCCGTGCAGTACACTTACTTACGCAGATAGGTCTTTTGAGTTTAATGACATATTTTTCCTACTTTATTTTCTTCGATCTTTGAATATGAAGGGATGGGGGAGGGAGAAAGGAACATGAACATAAGTTGACTCCTGCTGATTTAGCGTCAACTTGATTGAGCAAGCAGATGGTGGTTTAGAGTGTTACATTTGCTATGTTCTGTTATAGGATGTCATTATGACTCCGCTTCCCCCTCCTTGGAACAGGTCTGGCTTGTCATGATAATTATCACGAGTTCTGTCGGCTTCTTGGACGTTTTAAAGTCAATTATCAGGTATGAAACCTTTCCCCTTCACCTTTTTTCTTCTTGATAATATGAAAATGCAGTGTTACGCATCGGCATTGATTTAATTCTTTTTGTGAGGATTCATATAAGCTGACATAAGGTGTTATTTTTAGTTTCCATAGTTACTTTAATAATGTATGTATAATTCTAATATTGTGTTCTCTTGGTTTTCTCCTTATTGCATTCTTTACTCAGATAGCATTTTGAAATTGTTTCGTGTAGATTTTGGAATTTCCTTTGCATATATCCATGTTTGCTTAGATTTGTGATTAAGAGAATCAAGGAAATTCTCCTTAGGTTAATATCATAAAACCAGGAACTACCTACATTCTTCAAAAGGGATTCAATCTAATCCTCTTCATCAAATACTTTTACTATTTATATTTGTACTTGAACTTTTTTAAAAGGTCTACATATAGTACATGTCAAATCCGCTTGACAATACAATGATGTTAGAGTAGTGGTCAAACATGTTAAGATCTAAAGGTCGCATGTTTGTAGATTTTGTTTTGCACAGGGTTTAGACTTTGTACTCCTCACTCCATTGTATCATCTCTACTCTCTCACCTCCTTTTCTGCGTCACTACCCGCAGTTGCTCCTTGGCACTTCCTCCAATGATGGCCAGTCAGGTGCCAGCACACTTTATCAGTCTGGTGTTCACGGGATAAGTTACACAACCTATGTGTTAAAGAAAAGCTCTTCGTTATATATGTCAATAATGCCAAGGGCCTTGGAAAATGAGGCATTTCATTGTGGGGTCTTATCATCAGTGGTCGATCCAGCATTTTCGGCTTATGGGTGCTCACTTCTTTTAATGTAAAATTACTATAAATGCGATATTTAAAACATTAATGAGAAAAATAAGTTTAATTTACAAAAACAAAAAAAATAATCAATTTTTGAGGAAAAAAAACAATTTAAAGGATTTCATAACCAAATAGCCAGATTTCTCCAGAAAAATAAGATAAGTTATTGGACATGGCTTTTTAATCTTGTCATGTCACGAGAAACTTATCAAACGTAAAAGAAATTAAGACAAACTTAAGTATATTAAGAAAAAGAGAAGAACATGTGCGAGTTTATATTGGAGGGAAAGAGAAAAAATAGATAATGTGTAAATAATTGTTATTAGTGCGAACCGCACCCTTGACCTCCTTAAAGACAAGGCCTTCAAACTAGTCACTAGACCAAAGCACTATTTGTTCAGTGGGTGCTGAACATTTAATATGCTCAAAGTTGTAAGAAATTACTATATATATTAACACTTTATGTCGAGATTAATGGGTGCGCGATCACCCGGAAGAATGAATGTGGGTCTGCCCCTACTTATCATCTTATTTAAATGAAGCAGAAAACTGCTTGTATTTGCGTGCGAGTTGATTAAGTGATCAGAATTTTTCAATGGGATAATGGATACAAATCCTGGTGGCTAAGGGATGATTATCAGGGCCTTGGAAAAATTTAATAAAATTTAAGTTTGTAGCTACTCTGCTAGACGTCCAATTTTCTTGTTCATCATTGGTACTTAGTAGTTTAATCCGTATATAAATGAATTACATAAAAAAATATTGCAAGGGTTGAAATGGGAAAAAGTATTTGGTATGAGTTAAATGGCTGTGAAAACCCAAATTGTTAAACTTGTGTTGGGGCAATGTGAGGGGACTCTAAACACTACCTGATCATGATGAAGTTATAAGGGGGATCATCTCTTAGCCCGTTCCGATTTTCCTTAGTGATGGATGAATTGACACATCATATTCAAATAGAGCTGCCATGATGTATGTTATTTGCTGATGATATAGTAAATTGATTGACGATACGAGCGGTGAAGTTAATGACATGTCGTAGAGTCTAAAAGTTTTAGGTTAAGCGGGACTAAAATAGAGTACATGATAAGAATGGGTTTACTTGCAAGAAACAAGAAACAATGCGGAAGTGAAAATACGAAGATCAAAGATGGAATTTAAAGATATGCGACATTCTAGAATAAGATTCCTAAATTTCAAGATTAAGTGCTGAGAACCTTAATTGATTTTAATTTTCAAATTTAGTGGATTAAAATAGTTATGATACTAATAAATTCAATCCAAGAATCGATTAAAAGGTGATCTATACCTCTATTTCAAAGAAATTAGAGACAATCTGTGACAATCCTGAAGCATCCATTGCTGAGACCTGGACTAACCAAGGATGGAATATCTTCTTTAGGAGACTTCTAAATGACTGGGAGATTGAGAGTGTGGCCAGCCTACTGCAAAGGTTGAATGATTTCTCTGGTTTGAATACCAACCCTGATAAAATCAGATGGAGACACGATACGGATGGAAAATTTTCAGTCGGAAGATTGATCAGAAGAAATCTGATCTCACAACCTGGGAACATCCCTGGACCTTGGAAACAAATATGGAAATCTAATATCCTACCAAGATTAAGGGTTTCACATGGAAGGTATGTTGAAGAGCATGTCTCACTCAGGAGAAACTGAAAAAGGAGAAACTGAAAAAGAGAGGTTTTGAGATTGTCTCAAGGTGCTTCTTTTGCAAGGAAAAGGAGGAAACAAATAGCCATTTGTTCCTTCATTGTAGAGTGACTTCTCAGATGTGGTGTATTTTTCTTAATCTCATCCAAAAACCATGGGTGATGCCTGAGCATACGGCAGATCTTGTAACCTGCTGGATGAGAAGAGGTGGGAGTAAAAAACAGAACCTAGTCCCTTCTTGTATATGGTGGTCAGTCTGGAAGGAAAGATACAATAGATGTTTTGAGAATATTACTAATCCAATGCAGAAAGTAAAAGAAAACTGCATTAACACTTTATATCTTTGGTGTAAAGAAGAGGGCATAGATGAGGTAGAACAGCTAGTAGACTTCTTAGGCTATCTGTAACTATGATTACTTGCACTGTGATTTTTTTGATGGTTGAGACAGCATATCCACATTGCTGAGGAATATAACTTTACCTTGCTCAAAAAAAAGAATTATTATAATGCAAATTACATTCCTAGACCCCTATTTCAAACTAGACCATTTTTTGTGAAACAGAGGGAGTAATAAAGTAATTAATTTACAACAAATATAACCATGTTTTATTTACATAAAAATAGCCAAAAATCACACTAAAAGTACACCTACTATACAACATAGCTTGCCAAAAGTCATGGAAAATATACACCGACTATACAATATAGCTTACCTTTTACATTAGGGATACATTGACTATGCATTACGCTACACTCAAAAAGTTAAACTATACATGAAATATACTGGCTATACATGAAGTATAGTAGTATACAATGACGATTCAATCCCGATCAACTTTAAAATCATCTCTACATAGTCCCAAAATTTAAATATGAATACTCTCGATGTTTTGAGTCTTTTGATATGTAATTTGTTTGAAAACGATTAACATTTTCGATACGCCTAATTTTTTTTAAAAAGAAGAAGCAGAGAAATGACGAAGAAGACGAAGCGGAAGAAGATGAAGAAGAAGAATGACGACGAAGAAGAAAAAGCAGACAATTGATGAAATTGAAAACAGAAAGAAGAAGCCATTAATGTATGAATTGGAAGGAAGAGGAAGAACTTTGGCTAATTTTAGTAATTGTTGAAAGTTAGGCTAATTTGGGTGTAACACCAAGTGCCGAGTGGCCACTTTGCATAATTTGCTCGCTAATAAATACTAAAATCAAACTAGGAAAATTTTAAACTAGGAAAGCTAGTAGAATTAATACCAAAATTCTTCCCTAAGCTACCTACTAGAAATAAGGAAAGTAAGTGCCAAATTAGCACCATAACTGAAGCCACTTTTTAACATGTTTAGGCGTGAATTTCAACTTACCGTAGGCTTGATTTTCAGTCCTCTTTGACTCCACCAAGGCTTGATTTTCAGCCCCCATGATCTATGTGGGGTTGACTTCCAGTCCCATTTTGGGGTCTATGTGGCCCAATTTCGGGCCCCATGTGGTCCTTATTTTCCTTTTATCAGATATGTACTTGGATCATGAAATATGTGTATCACTTAGCTCATTCTGTTCCTCATTTCTAGAACTCGTTCTTGGACTCTTCTTCCACGATAAGTATCTTCTTAATTTCTCATTGAATCCCGTCAACCTTTAATAGGATAAGCTTGAAATATTAAATTATATTATTATTCCAAAATAAAAATGTTAATTTTTGTAACAGTAATTAAAATACGGGAGGTATGCATAAAAACGCATACCAAACCTGGAAAGAGGTCTCTAAAATTACGCAAGCTAATAAGAAACTTTGAAGCAATAGAGGAATGTTTTAATTGCCTAAAGATTGAGATTTATTAATTAAATAGTGAATTTTTTCATGATTCTTCTGTGAGGGTTTTAGCAAGTACTTCAATTTTGCCAAGATTTGTGAATTAATTATAATACTAAGATAATCCAAGAGAAGATGCAAAGTAGGTTGAGTTTATAATTTTGAGATTATCATAGTATCAATTGGACAAGAGTATGACATTGTTTGACTCTAAAAGAACTTCATGTAAGGTGAGATAAAAATAATGTTGTTTTTACTACCATTGAATAAAAATAAAAGAATAATAATATCGGTGAATACGACATCATATTGAAGTAGTTGCTAGTGGGTATGTAGTATGAAGACGAAGAATCTTGTATTATAAGCCATTTTTAGGTCCATAACCTGAACCAAGTTGGTAAAGCCAATTCTTCGATAATGGTTGACCATATCAAAGTCTTCATGAGGATATACTCATGGATAATTTGTTTGCTCTTAAATTATTTTTTTGGATGACCATTGCTTGCTCTTAAAGTTGCTTCTCATTGACATGCTCACTGCAGAATCTACCATTTGTCTCGAGTCTGACCAGGCCAGGATATTTTGTTTCATCTTCCTTTTCCCTACAATGTGTTTGATGTGCCTTCTTTATGTGGTTTTGATACTTCTTTCACAGTTATCAGAGCTTGTGAATGTGGAAAGTTATGGGGACTGGATACGCCTGGTTGCTGAATTTACTTTGCGATCTTTGCAGTCTTGGCAGGTTAACTCTTTGATAACTGGATTCAAGAATAGCATTTGGTCGTTAAAATTTTACTCTGTTTTCACGAAACTTCTGATTTTATTCCCATGATCTAGTGGGCTAGCAGCAGCGTTTACTACCTTCTTGGGCTGTGGTCTAGATTGGTTTCGTCGGTTCCATATTTGAAGGGAGACACTCCAAGCCTGCTTAGTGATTTCGTGCCAGAGATTGTCAAAAGTTTTATCACATCTCGATTTGGTTCCTTTCAGGTTGCACTGAATTGATTTTGCATGTGAGGTTGCATCGAGAGTTATCATAATAAGTTGTGGCTTTCGATTTACTCTCTGTTATGTTTTGGTGTTGCAGGGTGAAGTCTCTGATCTCTCAGAGAACCCCCTTGACAATGTTGAACTTCTTCAAGATCAGCTCGACTGCCTTCCTAATCTTTGCAGATTTCAGGTCCAGACTCTAAAATACGACACTTCAAAGATCATCAAAATGTTCTGAAAGCTGCTCGACTTTCTGTTCAATTTTTTTAGTTCAGACTGCTCAGAATATGTTTTGACTGTTGGTTTTTGACCTACTGAATTTTCTAAAATCGGTTTTGGTCGATACAGTATGAAAGCTGTAGCTCATACATTATGCAGATTACTGATCCTCTGCTTCAGATGTATATGGTATGCTTAGATCATTATCTAATAATTTGTAAGAGTTGAATGCCTAACGGAGCTTATGTGTTTGCAGTGATACATTTGTTTCTGTGTGAAACAGGAATCTGCTGATCCCCAGGTTCTTGCAGTGGTGGAAACAAAATTTGCTTGGATAGTTCACATTATTGCAGCTATTGTTAAGACTAAGCAGCTTAGTGGATACAGGTATTGCCAAGCTATATGCTGATTTTAACTGTGTTGTGAATCCTCTAGATTTGCCATTCACCTAATTTTCTTATGTATATTTTCACTTTCAGTGGTGAATCTCAAGAAATCCATGATGCAGAACTTTCAGCACGTGTACTGCGGCTGATAAATGTTACTGATAGTGGCTTACGCAGTCAGGTTCACTCTAATTTCCTCCTGATACTTTGGCAATATAGCATTAAAATGTAGAGAAGTTATTTTTTCATGTTCAGCTGAATTAAAATGAAAGTCTAACTCTATTGTGTATTGTACTTCGTCTTTTCCTTAGTAACTTGATCGAATTTGCATATATTGGGTGACATTTTTGGTACTCACGTATTGTTTTTGTCATTCTTCATATACCAGCGATATGCAGAAACAACCAAACAACGCCTTGATCTAGCTATTCTTGTGTTCTTCCAGAACTTCAGAAAGTCGTATGTTGGAGATCAGGCAATACATTCATCAAAGGTACATAATTGAAATTTCTTTGCTATCTTACCCAAGTGCTCAACTTCTTATTTGATTTCTTACTGGGTATTTAATCCATTTATTTCTCTGCAGCAACTATATACTAAATTGGCTGAGCTTCTTGGGCTCCATGATCATCTGCTTATATTGAATCTCATTGTTGGGAAGATAGCAACAAATCTTAAGTTTTACAGAGAGGTAATTGTAATAGTTGATTTCTTGTGATATTTCGATGAAAGCGAATCATTATTTCTCTTCTTTTTCATTAGAGTGATGGAGTTATCAGTCAAACATTAAATCTCATGTTGGAAATGGCGTCTGGGCAAGTATCATCTTACTATTCTTCTCAACTTTTTTGCTATTATTAGAATTGAGGACATCTCCTGGCTTTTTGTAATTAGTTTAACCTTCTTGAATTGGCAGATATATGACTGCAAAACTTCTGGTAAAGTTGGATACCACTCAATTAATAATCTCCAATCAGAATGTGAGTATTGTTTGTAACTGCGGTATATTGCTCTCTTCTCAAGTTGTTCCTAAACATTTGCGGCTTTGATCTGATACTTTAAATTCTGCATATTCAGAGGGAAGAATTCCCCTTTTTGGGGGACTACAGGTGCTCTCGTAGTAGAACTACCTTCTACTATATTATTGGCTTGTTGATCTTCATGGAAGATAGTTTTTTGAAATTTAAAGCATCAATGGATCCACTTCTGCAGGTATACATGTTTTTGGGATTGTGATTGATGTAACATTCTTATTTGTCGTACCTTGAATAGTATGTGAAGTGTTTTTTCCCGCAACATTTTTTTTGTTTAATTGCACCTCAAATTGCTCAACTCTCTTTTCATTAATTAATTGCTCCTAGTACTTTGTTTTAGTATTAATAAATTCAGAAGCTTTACTTATGTTTCTGCTTCTCACTCTAATAATTTGAGTTTAATGATGCAATAAAAGGTCTTGCTCAGTTTGGAATTGATACCAGATGCCTTGTTTCACACTGATGATGTTAAACAAGCATTAATTGGGTTGATGAGGGATCTTAGAGGAATTGCAATGGCTACAAGTAGGTTAGTAGCATGGTCAATATCAATATTTTCTGAGGGACTAGACTTGAATGTTTTTGACACACTAATTTTTTCTTTGTTCTCCTATTCCTACCATTCAACAGCCGAAGGACATATGGTTTCCTATTTGATTGGTTATATCCAGCACATATTCCTCTTCTTCTCAAGGCCATAACAATATGGGCAGACACTCCAGAGGTGAGACTTAATCCACAACTTGACATACTGCTATGGTGATTACATAAGCTCGTCCATAATTGGTTATCATTGCACCATTAACCCCTTCCCCCTACCTCACCATGGTTCTCTTATCACAATCAAAGTTGTGGCTTACAGTTGTTTTATCCATATATTCGTGCTTGGTCCACAAACAACCTCTCTACCCCACAAAGGGTAGGGGTAAGGTCTGCGTACAACCTACCCTCCTCAGACCCAATTGTGGGATTTCACTGGGTATGTTGTATTGACTTGATAATAGAACACTTAAATCCTAGAGGCTTTTTTGTGTATTTGAAAAACAAATGTTTAACAGATGTCAAATATTTGTAATGATTCAACTGGTGAAAGTACTTTTTTGAAGTTATCATGTACACATGCAGTACCTTATGGTAAGCAGTTAAAGTATACTGCTGCATTAAATCCATTTAGGGTTTGATTGTTTGTTCTTCAAAGAGCGGTTGAGTTAGCTTAGATTTCGAGAACTGGTATGGTGTTTTGAAGTGAGAAAGCTACCAGGCACAATTCTTGAGGGGGGGGGGGTCTCTTTTTTCTCGGTGATCTTAGTTTCTTGCTGGCATCTTGACAGTTTGTTTACTAATCATCTCTCTGTGATTTTAATCTAAAAACTGTAGTATCTTTATGGGGGAAAACAGAATTTATGGTGCTTTGGGATTTTAGTCTTATGATACCACCAGAGTCATTGCCAGAGCTGAAGTCTTGTTTGAGTGGGTAGAATGAAGTAGAAATTTGATGCGCAGAACCATGTAAATTCAGCCGGGAAACAATGGATGGTTGGTGTTTGTATTACGGGGATGCATCAAAAGACTCTGGTACTTGCACTAGAAGATTGAAGCTAAACGAACAGGCCCTTAGCAATTGATGACAATATATCTGAGGAGGGTTTTGAATCCGAAGCAACGCTGAGATTTCATATAAATTTAATCAAATGAAGCCTAATATTTTGGGGTGTGTACAGAGGAATATGAAAGAGAATTCTCCTCGTTAATAAGTAGAATGGGGCAAAAAACCACAGGGGAGGAACAAAGCAACAGTGACAATAATAGCAACACAACCAACCAGTCAGTGCCTAAAGAGTTGAGGAATCTCATTTTCAGTATAAAATTCAAAGAGGGGGGGGGGGAGCCTAGGAGTAGAGGGAGGAGATCATCAATTGTGGAACAATGATGGTAAAAATAATTTCTTGGAATGTAAGGGGGTTAAACGACGAGGGGAAGAGGGATTTAGTCAGAAACCAAATTAATCAATGGGGGGCAGATGTCTATATCCTTTTGGAGACTAAACTAAAAGACAATATTAGTAGTTTAATTCGCAGCATTGGAACAACAGATGGTTGAGTGAACTTCATGTAGAGGCACAAGGGTCTAGTGGAGGTAAGTTAATTAAGGTAAATTGTCTATAATGACAAACTAATAAATTAAATTAAATGTTATAATCACACTTTAATTTAATTGTACCCTGTAGCAAACTGTTTGCCAGTCACCTCTCTCCCTCAAACTCTCGCTCGCCACTCTCCCTCTCTCGCTCGCTCTCACTTTTATACAAACACAAGTGTATAAAATGCAGTTCTGTTTGTATAAAGTGAGAAAAAAATTGTATATATACATATGTTTTCGTTCTCCTCTCTCCCCTCTCCCAGATCTCACTCGCCACCCTCGCCTCTATCGCTTATACAAACAGAAACGAAATGTATAAATTGTGTTTCTGTTTGTATAAAGCGAGAGAAAATTGTATTTACACATGCAAATACATATATATTCGTCCTATAAACTTATAGTTATACAATACAAATATTTCCCAGCCCAATTTTCTTTTGTTTCTCTTTCTCGTTTTATACATACGAAAATTATACAATTGATTTGTATACAAGTGCTTTCTTTTGTATATGTATAGCGAATTATAGAATTGTTTTTTTTATATGTATAGTGAATTATACATATTTATATTTGCTATGGAGCGCAATATGCAAACTTTGCTATAACATACAAATATAATTTTTGTGTTTGCTATATGTGAAAGTTGCTCTTTTAATTATGCGGGATAAAATAATATGGGAGGGGATTCTGGTGGAAGCAGGATCACAATGCATTTCTTGTAAATTTTCAAACTAGAATCAAGAATTTTCTTCGTTTCTAACAGCAGTTTATGCCAAGTGCTATAAAATAGAGAGGAGAGAACTGTGGGGTGAGTTGGGTACTATGAGAAGTCTGTGTGAAGGTCCTTGGGTAGTATCGGGGGGGGGGGCTTTAATGTTTTAGATACTCGGTAGAAAGATCCAATTGCTCTAGGATTAATGGTGCTATGACTGAATTTTTTGAATGCATTGAGGAATTGGAATTAGTAGAGCCTCTAAAGTCTTACACTTGGAGAAGAAGGGAAGGGCACCAAACAACTTCCAGAATTGATAGATTTCTCTATAGCTCACAATGGGAGGAGCAGTTCACTTTTATCAAGCAATCCACAATGCCAAAGTTGGGATCTGACCAACTGTGCGAATCTGAATTTCTAGAAGTCCTACTTCAAATTTGAAAATAGGTGGATGAGAGTGGAAGGATTCAAGGAAGAGGTGAAATTATATCTTTTGTAATAACTGGAACCCCAAGTTTTGTTTTTGCAGAAAAGTTGAAACTTTTGAAAGGAAAGATGAAGGAATGGAGTAAGGATAGTAGAAAAGATTGTAAAGCACAAAAGGAGGAGATTATGGAGGAGCTGGCCAAATGGGAAGCTGTACCAGAACAAAGAGTGCTCACCGAGGAGTAGATCCAATAAAAAACAAATTTGGCTATCACTTATGAGCAAGTAGTTAAGAATGAAGAAATAAGATGGAGGCAAAGATAAAAAATCCAGTGGCTAAAGCACGGGGATAAAAATGCTAAGTTTTTTCACCGAGCAACTACTTCTCATAAGAGGGATAATTCCATTGAGTCTTTACTGGTGGATTGATGACCCCTCTATCATTAAAGAGACCATCAAAAGATTCTACCAAAATTTGTACACAGAATAAGAGGAGTGGAGGCTGAGCTACAGTTATATGGGATCACAACCATTAGTGTGGAGGAGCAGATAGAACTAGACGGGCCCTTCTGAGGAGGAACAGATCTCAGGCTGCTTAAAGCTTTGTGCTATGGAGAAAGCACCTGGACCTGATGGTTTTCCCATGTTCTTTTACTGGTCTTTCTGGGAGATCCTAAAAGAGAATATTATAAAGGCTATACAAGAATTCCATGCTAGACACATTACTGAGAAGAGCTTTAATGCTACTTTTGTAGCACTCATCCCCAAGAAAGCCTGTGCTGCTGAACTTAAAGACTTCACTAATAAGTCTGATTACCAGAGTTTACAAGGTGATAGCAAAACTACTGGCAAAAAGGTTGAAAAGAGAGATTGATAAGCTTGTCAACAAGAACCAAAATGACATTCATTAAAGGAAGATAAATAATGGATGCAACTCACATTTGCAAGCGAGTGTGTGGACTCTAGATTGAAAGGAAACATTCCAGGGGTAATGTCGTGGAAATTGAAAAAGTATACGATCATGTGCATTGGGGTTTCCTATTAAACTCCTCGAGACAGATGGTATTTGGAGAAAGATGGGTGACATGGATAAAATTTTGCATAAGCACGGTGAGATTCTCACCATTCTTGTATATGGAGAACCGGTGGGTTTTTTCTCTTCAAGAAGGGGCATTAGACAAGGTGTCCTCTTTCACCATTTTTATTTATCCTGGTAATGGAGGGATTTGATAGTTTGATAAGGATTGCTACTCAAAACAGGTGGATCAGAGGTTTCTAGATTAGTGGAAACAATGGTGTATTAAAGAGAGATTTGCCATCTACTCTATGCAGATGACACCGTGATTTTCTATGAGCCACAGGAGGAGCAATTTAGATTCATCAAACTAATTTTGTTGATTTTTGAAGCTTGTACATGTTTGAAAGTTAACTAGGGAAAGAACAATTTATATCCTATCAAGAATGTGACAAACATCCAAAATTTTGGGCTGTGGAGTGGGGAAGTTGCCCACAACTTACCTGGGTATGCCTTTGGTAATACACACAAAGATTTGAAGATATGGAACAACATAGTCGAGAAGACTAAAAAGAAACTAGCTAGATGGAAGGCTTAATACATTTCTTTTGGTGGCACACATTCTTATCAACTCTGTTCTGGACTCTCTCCCAACATATGCTAGGTCTCTTTTCACTATACCGGCAAAAGTGGTTAAGAAATTGGACAAACTTAGGAGAGGATTCCTTTGCATGGTTGCAAAGAGAACAAAGGATACAATTTGGTCAAGTGGGCGACAATTTTGCATAGAAAAGATAAAGGTGGCTTGGGCATCAAAGATTTGAGGAAGCATAACAACAATCTTTTGATGAAATGGTTGTGGAGATACACTTAGATGAGGCAAGCTTTGTCGAAAGATTTGATTAAATGTAAATATAGGGAGGATGGATTCCGGTGTAGTAACATAAGCACGGATGCTTATGGAGTGGGGGTTTGGAGAGCTTTAGAAACTTATGGCCCAAGTTAGAAGCAAATTAACATATCAAGGTGGGGGATGGACCGAGAGCTAGATTATGGTGGGATGTATGGATCAAAGACCTGCTTCCTGATCTATTTATTTTGTGCACCAATTCTGAGGCAATGATGAGTGTTTTTGGAGTGAACTCTATGCAATGGGCGGTGGTCAGTGAACATCTGGAAGAATGTTTTTTGAGTGAACTATATGCAATGGGTGGTTCTATGATCCAAGAATCTATTTGGAACTAAGAAAAGCAGATGATGATACCAGTTTCAATAAAAGAACAAGAAGGATTTGAAGAATTTGGTGCATTTGGACGAAATTGTGGAGATTGAAGGAGTTTGTGTATAATTTCCAGTTTTTCCCTTTTAAATGGAGACGTTTCTAGAGAAAATGTTGCCCTGATCAAAATAAGTTGTTTGGAGGGCCTGTCAATTTTGATATTTAAAGGCACGATTATCAACTCTATTCTTCCAGTTTAGTGGTTTCCATGAGTCTTCCAACATGTTTCACGGGTACAAGAGCTGAAGAGTCTCTAACAAGTTTTAGTTCAATATTTAAATCAGGTTTTACCATAATTTTCCTCTTAGTTTCCTCTTTCCTAACTTTAGAAAAGGTTTCACAAAGTGAGTCTCTAACAAGTTTTAGTTCAATATTCTTCCCTTCTTTTGCTTTCATACTATCCACAATACACTCCCATTCATAATCGTAATACTGGTCTTACTCCTGCCACAAAGAAACCATTTTATTATAATGAGTAGTGACTTTCTTCTCACTCTGGTTGGCTTGCCATAGTTTAGTTTTTAACTAAAAAATCTGAGAGGCATTTTCTACATCAGATATGTCTTCCTAGCGTCTTCCCACACATCCTTAATGATGAGCAAAAAGAGATAAGATTTACCAAGGACCGGTTCTATGGAATTTATTAACCAAAAAATCACGAGTAAATTCTAGGAGTTCATCTTGGGGTCTCCAATTCCCGACTTTTTCATCTCTTGTTCTGATGTCCCAGCTTTCCATGACCATCGATTGCAAGCTTTACGGACTCTGCTCAATCCTGATAGTTTTTTCACATTTAATCGATGAGAGGTTAAGTGGAAGAGCATGTGAGAAGCATTGCCTCATTGTGTCATCATATTTTTTATAGGATCTTCCAGAGGAGAACTTTTGTCTTCTATTGATGTTTCAGAAAGATCCTCTCCATGAAATGTTGTTTTATCCATATGATATTAGAGGAAAAAAGTCTCCGCTCTAATACCATGAAAAGACATGGCACCTGAGCCTAAATCAACTCAAAAAGCTAGCTCACGAGAGGAAGTTTTTTCAAGTCCATAAAAAGAAGCCGATTTCCCATCCTTCTAAACACTGTAAATATATGACACGCGGACTAACTCAACTCCAAAAGCTAGTTCACGAGGGAAGGTTTGTCCAACTCCATATAAGGAGACCAATTTTCAATCCCTCTACCGATGTGAAACTTCTTAATACTCCCCCGCACACCCAGACCTAAACTGGAGCGAGAACATTTCTTAATGGGGGGCCACCACCGGTGAACAACAAATCATGATGGGCCTGACTCTAATACCATGAAAGTTTAGATACTGCAAAAGTATTTCTCTACTCATAGTATTTGTACAATATTTATAAGAGAACAACCAAGATCAAATAAACTAATCAGTCTCTATTTCTTAGACAATTCTTGAATCAAGGGATTTCCTCTAAACTATTTTCCTAGAATAATATAAGCTAATCCCAAATTTACTATTTGTGGAGCAGATTATAATCAAATCTGCCAACTCATTGGTGGAGCAGATTATGACTAAATCTGCCAAGTCATTCGAAACACCGATGTGAGAAAAGGCTGACCAGGTGGAATCAGAAAATCGCAGTACCTTTCTCTTGGAGGCAGTCCTGATCAACCTTTGCTTAGATGCTTTAACTACTTGATGTCTTTGTTTCCTCTTCCTAAAAATGTGGGTAAAAGTATCGATGCCCTCAGAAGGAATTTCTTATGGCAAGGAAACATGCAGAGGAGAGGTTTTCCTCTGGTCAAATGGGAAACATTATATATTTCAAAGAAACAAGACGGTATGGCTTTGGATTGGAGATACCTAAATGAAGGACAGAAACTTAGGGGCACTGTGATAAGGGCTAAATATAGGAAGGAATGCTTTTGGGAGACCAGAGCGGTGAAAACTCCTATAGTCTGTGAAAATCCATTAGAAAACTAGTCCGTGGAAATCCATTAGAAACTAGTCCGTGGAAATCCATTAGAAACTTGTGGTCTCGTTTCTCAGAAAAACTTTGCTATAATGTGAAGGATGGAAGGAAGAGGAGGATATTGTTTTGGTAGGATAACTGATTGGGGATTGGAAGTCTTAAGCAGTTGTATCCTTGTATTTTCAACTTTATCAGCATTAGGGGGCTACATTGAATGAAGTTTGGTCAACAGAGGAGGAAAGTTTGCTGCAGGACTGATTGATGGAGAGTTTGACCAATTTTCGTGGCACTCTATATTTTAAGGGACTATAGGATGAGGAAGACACAATCAGATGGAACAGTCATAGTAAGAGCTATTTACGGTAAGTTCTGCTTACAAGGATCTGAACCAGATGGGATCACAACTAAGCTTTCTCTCTTGAAACTCCTACAGAAAGTTAGAATTCCATATAATTGGGTGGTTTTGAGAAAACCAGTTCTAACTCATGATAAGCTATGGAGGATGGAAATTCATATGGTCTCAAGATGCTATTTATGTGGACAATGTGTTGAGGCAGTTAACCATCTGTTTCCTATATTGGAAGATGACCAGTCAGATGTGAAATCTGTTTATTAGCTTACTAGGCATTAGGTGTACAACGCCAGGAAGAACCTGAGAAGCCCTGACTAGCTGGACTACAGAGGAGGAAAGCAGCACAAACAAGGACACACGGAGAAATGTTCCGGTGACAATAAGGTGGACAATATGGAAGGAAGGAACTCTAGGTGTTTTGGATACCTCACAACTCCTTGAAAAGTTTGAAAATGAATTGTATTCGTATGCTTTGTTACTGGTGTAATTCAGAGTACATAGATGATCCAGTCTCCGTTATTGACATCCTAGGCTCCCTATAGAAGATCAAGAACCTAGTGTTTTTCTCTAGTTTATACCATTTTCTTTTGGATCTTTTGATGTAAAAACTTATTTTGGTGGCCAACACTTATGGGTTGATGATTTATTACTGTGACGTTAACTTGTCAAAAGAAAAGTTCTGTAGAGCTCCTGGTTTTAATCTTTACAACCATTTTGTTTCCCACACATTCTTCCGTAGAAGTTATACCCCGTGGAAGTACATCTAATATACTACGTATGTGAAGAGTACTACTACCAGATTGTTAAAGTTTGGTTGGCTTAAGAAGATCCAACAATTATTGAAAACAAATAATACTTGCTTTTTGGGATGTCAACTTATAGGGATTTTCCCTTACAATTTAAGAAAATCTTCTATTAAACTACATGGCAATTGATTCCTCGATAGTGCTTGTGCTTTGGTGCACACTTGGAGACCTTTTAGCTTCTTCTGCCTTTAGAACTGATCTAACTGTGTCTCCTTCTCTGTTTTAATGCATGGAATAGGTGACAACACCATTACTTAAATTCGTAGCTGAGTTTGTGCTGAACAAGTCCCAGCGACTGACTTTTGAAACTTCATCTCCCTGTGGCATTCTTCTTTTTCGTGAAGTCAGCAAATTGATTGTTGCATATGGATCCAGAATTCTCTCTCTGCCTAATCATGTTGATATGTATCAGTTCAAATATAAGGGTGTTTGGATTTCCTTGACAATTCTTTCAAGAGGTAGGATTTTTAGCTTTTAATCTATCTATCTTGGTAATGACTTAAATATTCGTGTAATTTTTGTCCCTTGAAACAGAAGGCTTCCTATATGTTGTTTGCTTGCGAGACTATCTCCTGACAAAAAGTTTGATGCCACGGAGAAGAGTTTCCGAGCTCACTACTTGTGCTTTTGCTTGTCTTGTTTTCTCTGTCTTTTTGCCTTCTATTGATGAACTTAACTTGAGTAGCTTATTGATTTCATTTTGAAAGAGTTTCTTCCTCTGAATAAGAAATTAGTTTATTTTATAAAGTTGATTTATCTATAAACCTGGATTATATGATGGTATTGTTCTTCACAGTCAAATGAAAAATTATTTAAGCTAGTTCTGCTTACCTTTGTTTTTTTTCCTTTTGTTTCCCCTTTCTCTTTGTCTTCTCGTAGACAATATATGCTGCTCTTTTCCCAACAGATTGTTTGTGTTCTCTCCCTCTGTGTATTTAGCTAATGAACAATACAGTAATCCTGAAATTGTAATATATTAACAAATGTGAGTGTAAACAACTGAACTGATGGTCCTTTCATTCTGTAATTTCTTATGCTTCTGAACTGTAGCACTTGCTGGTAACTACGTCAATTTTGGGGTGTTTGAGATTTATGGAGACAGAGCGCTTGCAGATGCTTTTGACATAACTATGAGGATGACACTATCTATTCCTTTGGCAGATATACTCTCGTACAGAAAGGTATAAAAATTAAGAGCTGCTTGATTCAGAAGCTCTCTTGTTATTTTATATCTTGAGACGCTTATTACATGAATTTTAAAACCTTTAATTATATAATGTTAAACAAAATAGTACGTTTAAACTGGTATTATTTTTGAATTTTAAAACTTCTGGTGCTTTATGCTTTGAACAAAAATATTTTTGTTTGATTTTGGAACATAATAAACTTCGCAACAAGCTCCAACAATCTTTTGCATCATTGTACTTATTTGGGAGTATACTCCCAACGTGGAATGGGAGCATCATATATGCACCGAGTTAGAGCCCCAATTTTTAATGGGCTTGTTGCAGGTGTAACGTATGGTTTACTTTGGGCAAGTTGTCTACATCCACTCAGGTAACAAAACACACTTAAGAGTGTCTTTTTACAACAAAGGAAAATGTACACACTACTGAGACATTTGAGAGGTCAACATAGTGGTGGGAAGAAATGGTCCTGTTGTTTATGGGGCATATGTTTTATCTGACACTTAGGAAATTTGGTTTTGACTATTATGCTAGCTTATGAGAAATGCTGAAAGTAGCTTGACTATAAATTTAAAATAGTTTTATCAAGATATACATCTTTAAATATGGATTTGATAGGTGCTACTGATAGTTTTATGTGTTTGGCGTGCCATTTGTATGGCTATATATTTTGCTTTGAGGAGAGTTGAGCCATTTTCGAGTCTTGTGTTAGTTGGGAGTAGATTCATAGAAGAAGTTGATTTGGTTTTCTTTTTCCTTTTCCTTTTCCTTGGTCTTTTCTGTTCCTTTTTCTTTGTCTTTGTTAATACATTGTATGATTAGTAAGAACACAAAGAAATAGCCTATCTCAACGATGCGTACTGCAAATACAAAACTCTCTTTCTTGAAGATTACATTTTTAAATATGGATGTGATAGGAGCTACTGATAGTTCTATATGTGTTTGTTGTGCCATTTGTTTGGCTGTATATTTTGCTTTGAGGAGACTTGAGCCATTTTCGAGTCTTGTGTAAGTTGTGAGTAGATTCATAGAAGAAGTTGATTTGGTTTTCTTTTTCCTTTTCCTTTTCCCTTTTTCCCTTTTCCCTTTTTTCCTCTTTCTTTGTCTTTGTTAATACATTATATGATTCGTAAGAACACAAAGAAATAGCCGACCTTCAAAGATGGCTGCAAATATAGAACTTTCTTGAAGAGGAAGTATCTTTTCTTGGGCAAAGGTTAGTGATGATCAAGAGTACTAGATTTATTACCCACCTATACCATGTCGTTCCGTTTTCCATTAGCGGTAGTGCATAAAATAGACAAAATACACAGAATTTCTGTGGCACGGTAATAGAGAGATTGCAACCTTTAATTTGGTTAGATGGAGTGAAGTGTCTACAGTCAAGTCAGGAGGTTTTGGTATTAGAGAATAGAGACTTAAGATTCAAAGTAAAAATTTGCAGCTTAAGTGGCTTTGGAGGTTCAATAAGGAATTGGGAGCATTGTTGAGAGATGTCGTTGTGACAGAGTATGGATTTCTCATCCATGGATGACCACACAACGATTTCTCTCCAAAACATGTGGTATATGGAAGCATCTGAGAACTCACTGGGACATTTTTTGAATACTTAAGTAGAAATTGGGAATGTATGGAAGTAAGATTCTACATACAGTGGCTCAGAATCCTGAAGTATTATTCTAACTCTTGCTGGGACGTACATTCAGACGTAATATGAATGATTGAGAAGTGGACAACCTTTGCTCTTTGTTTTCTCAGCTACACAGTTTTCCTCCCCTTCTGTCCATAGATGACTCTTGATGCTGGAAATGTGACTTTAAGGGATGTTTCTCTGTTATATCATGCTACAAGCAGTTAAGTCCTCCCCCAACTGAAAATTGGCCTTGTAAGTGTATTTGGAAAAACAAAGCTCCTATGAAAGAGGAACTTTTCGGATGGTTAATGGTGAAAGGATCTTGTTTCACACACAAAATTACAGAAAAGGGGAATTGATTTATGTAACAGAAGTTTGCTTTGTAACAATGGAGCTGGAGATGTCAACCATTTATTTCTTCCTAGGTTCACATATTGATATGGAGTCTCTTTCTCATTTTACTAGGGGAATTAAACGGTGAAGATTTCAAGAAGAGGAAGCTTCTTTGTATTTCTTGATGAATATACAACCCATGAGAATGGGTTTATATGATGAGTCCTAAGATTAGTAAGAAGCTTCCTCTTCTTCTTAAAATCTTCACTCATTTTAGACTGAATTTTCAGCTTACTCACTGCAGCATTCTTGTCACATTACACTGGAAATTTTCCTTTTCCAAACAAACTCAATTCCCTCAGTAGCTTCTGGTAAATCAGGAGAGTTGGGCACGTATATTTGACAAGGAAAATTGCTTGCAAATATTTTTTAATCAATTATCTTCATTCTTTGATCTTCTGTTAACTTTTCAAGGTGGTAATTAAGATTCTTCTCCTAATTAAATATAAAACTATATTTTCTATGTGTTGTTTAGATTTTTAGACATTATTATTTTGTTGAAACATCAAATTCTTGATTGTTTCGTACAGTTTTAGATCTTCTCTTTTTAATTCTACTCCTTTTATTGTTTGGTCATATATCCACAAATAACTTAGTTTGTTTTGCATATTGGAACTTCTATTTTCTTCTGTCAAACAAACAAAATTATACTTGTTTGTCCAGTAGAGAAAACAAACACAAATATTTTGAAATTCAAACTAATCTTTAGCATTAAAGATAGAAATTACAAAACATAATTATCGTAATGCATAATTTTATTTAAAATTTTGGAGGAGATTCTCCAAAAGAACGTCTGTGTGTTTAAAGTTTTGACGACATTTCAGTAATTTTGACAGAATTTACGTATTGGCACTTTTTTATCAAACACACTGCTTATCTAAGTTGCTCGGACAAATATATTGGTGCGCCCGTGTCGGATCCTTCCAAAATACAGTGTTTTTGGAGGATCATCCATCAACATTTTCGAAGAGTCTGAGCAACATAGCTGCTTATGGTTTAGGACTTTTATCCAAACATAACTGCTTATTCATAAAATCAGCTCCAATACTTAAATGGTATACAATGTAGTGTATGAATTTCTATTAAGTTAACTTGCCAATTTTTAAAAAAGTAAATCACGGTAAAGCCCATGTTTAAATTGTACTATAAATACCAAACGTAGTTTGAGGGAATAATCAAGTTTTTCCCTTCTCATGATCTTTCCCATATTAGCAGTCTAGCTTACATTTTGTTTTGCTTGATATAATTGAGTCAAATATTTTAAACCTTTGTTGCTCGGACTCTTCAACGATATCATCAGGTGTGTATCGGATCCTTCACAAGTAGTGCATTTTTAAGGATCCGGCACGGGTGCGGTAGCATTTTTGGAGTGACCCCATAATTTGAAAAGTGGACCTTTTTGTTGTTATTCTGGCAAAAATTAATCTGTTCATTTCAGCTATATTTGCTGCAATTCTCTTCGAACGAGCAGTACTGTCAAATTTACTTAATTTACTTGAGCTGTTTATCTTGAATAGTAGTTTCATCCCTGATTGCATCCTATCCAGTGGGGCACACTTGCATGAATTCTGAGGTGTATATATTCCTTTACCTTCTGTAAATAATCATGTTATATTCCTTCCATTATTAAAACATAACCACTTCCAATCGTCTTATCTTACAGCTTTCAGGAGCTTACTTCTCATTTCTGGAGATCATGATGAAAAACCAGATCCAGTTGATACTTAACTTGGACTCAAGTAGCTTTACATTTATTGCTGGATCTCTTGAGTCTGGACTTAAAGTACTGGATGAAAATATCAAATCACAGGTTGTGTTTTGTCAACCACTTCCCTTGAAATGTCAAACGTCATTTCTTTGTATCTGTTTAGTTTTCGCAAGTGTCAGGGACATACTATAACTAAATAATTATAAGTGTGGTAAAAGCTTAAGGTTTTACCTGAGGTGGTCACACATTTCAACTTGGTATCTGTGCAGACAAAGGTTCAGATGTTGTCGCCACCCAAGAAGAAAAAAATGCTTTTACATGCTTCGCCCATGATAAAAAATCAGGTCCACATGTCAGTCAGACATAATATAATTAAGTACTAAATAGTGTGTTCTTGACAACTTAAAACTCCTAATCTGTGATGGTCACATTTCAACAACAAGGCTTCTTGGATAGACTTGTAATTTATTCTCAACAGACTAACTCTAATCATTTTATTCTAGTGTGCATCTGCGGTGGACAACTTAGCTACATTTTATTTCGAACACATAACAACTGGAGAGTCACCTACCACCCCTGTGGCGCTTAACCTGGCGCAGCATTTAGCAGACTGTCCAAACATATTTCTTGAAGTAAGTTCCAACTGCTCTTTTTATTTTAAGCAATAATTATTTCTAGAACTTTTCTAGGAACAGCGAATAGGTGGCACAGATTTGGGTTTAGCCATGTCAGTCCCGTATTTCGGCAGGGAACTCTGCCCTTGTTGATGACCCCTACCCTACTGTGTGTTTTGTCCTTTTTATTTCATGAGGTATCTTCTTTCTCCTTTGTGTCCTTGTATACATCTTTTTGTTCGGGGACTGTGGGTGGGAGAATGTGGAGTTTCTGTAGAGAAAATGCAGTGGATATGAGCCTCTACAAGAATTAGCTGCTTCACATCACCCATTGTGGGAATACACAGTTAACCATGTCGACGTAACATACCTTCGCTATCCATAGTGAATGCCTTAACACCTCCCTTTTGCGCTTCATCTCGTAATCTAGCAACATGGGGGTCTTCATATTGGCTAGTCTTGGTTTCTCCAACTAAGGATGATTGTACCGCCATATCTGCAAGTAACCTACCTTCCCAGTTTATGATCAATTTAAACTACCCAACTGGCCAATGTCTGAAAATCCATGACCATAGATCGCTTTTCAACGGTGAATCCGGCAAACTACTTGTGGACTTTCTACTCAAGGCGTCTGCCACCACGTTCACCTTTCCGGGGTGAGACAAGATAGTAAGATCATATTTTTTAATAGCTCAAACCACCGTCGTTGCCTCAGATTCACATCTCTATGCTTGAATATGTATCAAAATAGGTTTCACACAACTCACCACAAAGATGGTGACGCCTGATCTCGAGTACAAATACTATTGCGGCCAATTGCAAGTCGTGTATCGAATAATTTTTCTCTTAAATATTTAGCGGTTGAGAAGCATATGCCACCACTTTACTATTCTGCCTCAAGACACAACCCAATCCAACTTGAGATGCATCAGAATAAATCGTGAAACCACCCTCCGTCGTAGGTAAGGTCAAAATCGGAGTCTGAGTCAATGGAGTCTTTAATTTTGGAAACCCTCTTAACATCTGTTTTGAGTACTGAAACACCACACCTTCGAGTTAAATGTGTCAATACAGCAGTTATCTTCGTGAGAAACCCTCCACTAATCTTCTGTAATGTGCATCTAGTCGCAAGAAGTTGGGTATCTCTCTAGTAGTACTAGGTTGAGGCCAATCTCGCACTTCTTCTATCTTCATTGAACTTAATTGGATTTGATCTCGTGACACCACATGGCACTGTGGAGTTTCCCTAGCTGGTTGAATCTGAGCTTGTGCACCTCCAAAATTTCTCAATACCTGTGTTGTAGCATGACTAGTACCAGGATCTTCCTTGTGACAAAATTTAGCATATGCCCTCTTTCACCACAAGTAAACAAGGGCCACCAACTCCGAAGTAATGACTGTTGTAATAATCTTCCTGGTTAGTGTTGTAAGTCACTTCTTGCATTCTCCCGGTGTCATTCATTGGAATGCATATATTTTGCATTCTTCGATACATAAAATCTACTTATGGAAAAATACTATTTTACTAAGATTTAGGACAAAGAGTAAATTGTTGGAAATCCATTTGTAGACTTGGCAGAGTCACCCTCCGATAAACGATTTAATTCTGGAGTGTGTTCTAGTTGGGGAAGTTTGGTGTCCTGGAAAACTAAGAAATAAAATATGATTTCTAGATCTAGTGTAGAAGCTGAATATTGGGCTATAGTAGTGGCAACATGTGAACTCATATGTATATATCAAGAAACTACTAAAGGAGTTGAAATTTGGAGAGACTAAAAAAGTGGAACTTGTGTGTGCCATATAAAAGTGGCACTTCACATTACATCGAATCCCGTGTTTCAGGAGAGGATCAAACACGGAGATTGATTGTCCTTTTGTCATAAGAATGTACTCTCAGGAAACATTGTCACACGGTTCATGCAGTCAAGTGATAACTTGCAAACATACCAAGTCCCTAGTTGGTCCTAGAAAGAGTTATAGATGTAGCAAGTTTGTTACATATAATCTGTATGCACTAAGCTTAAGGGGTGTGTTACAATCGTGAGAATATTATAGCATATATGTAATTAGTAGGTAGCTTGATTTACGCCTATTATAATTAAATTAAGTACCAATTTGTACAGATTTCCTTAATTTGAAGGACATATAAACTTAGAAATTTAAACCCCAATAACTTGAGGTATAATCAAGCTGAGTTCTCTCTCAAACTCTTATAGTCTTATTATCTCACAATTGCATTGATACTTTATCCCCCATTGCTAAGATACCATTTGTTTGTCTTTTTCTATCTATGGTTGTTATCCGGCATTGACTTCTTTATAAGTTGGACACTCAGAATTCAGTTTCAAAAAAAAAAGTTTAGTTTCAAAAAGTTGGACACTAAGAATGTTTTTCTCCATGGTGAGCTTGAGTAGAAGTTTTTATGGAGCAATCACCTAGATTTTTATCTCAAGGGTGTATTTACTAGTCTGGTGTGTTGATTGCACTTCTCGATCCTGGTTTGGGAGTTTCGGCATAGTAATTCAAAAGTTTAGCATGCATTGTATTGAAATTGGTCATTCTTTGTTTTATTGATATTCTACTCCAAATCTGTTATTTATTTGGTATATTTTGACGATATTGTTAGCTCAGGTAATGATCATGACAATATCACTAATTTAAAGCAACATCTCTTCTGGCATTTCTAGACTAAAGGCCTTGATAGACAAAAGTATTTTCTAGGTATTGAGGTTACTTAGTTTGATAATGTTATTTCACAATGAAAGTATGCCTTAGACATTCTCGAGGAGACATAAAATGATGGCCTATGGAGCTGAATGCCAAACTGTTGCCAGGATAGTGGAGCTCAATGATCGTAGAAGATATAGATAGTCGGTTGATATGTTGAGTTATCTCACCGTGACTAGACCTGACATTTCTTTTTCCGTGAGTGTTAGTCAGTTTATGGATTTTCCCTGTGGTAGTCATTAGGATGCAGTTATCCGTACATGCCAAGTCAGTTCCAGACAAAGGATTACTCTTCTGGGATCGATGCCATGAGTTATCATTGGATATGCAAGTGTTGAATGGATAGATCACCACATTCTATGTCTGGATATTATGTTTTAGTTGGAGGTAATTTTGTGTCCTAAAAGGGCAAAGAAACATATGGTGGTCGCTTGATCTAGTGTAAACGCAGAAAATCGAGCAATGGTTCTAGCAACTCGTGATCTAGTTTGGATAAAACAGTTGCTCGGTAAATTTTTATATAAATCAATATGATGTAACTTGTGGGTGATAATCAAGCTATCCTTCATATTGTATCAAATTCAGTATTCCATCAAGAGAACTAACATTATCAAAAAAATCGAATGTGTTTTTTGCTATCTATTGCTCCATTTTGATCTGTATCTTCATATTTCTTTGTCATTTTTCTTTTGCAACCCTTCTTTGAATAACTATCTTTGTGAGCAGAGGGTCTATCGGAAACAACCTCTTTACCCTATAAAGGTAGGGGTAAGATATACATACATTTTAACCTTTCCAGACCCCATTTGTGGGATTACACCGTATGTTGTTCAGGACATTGCCAAACTTTGTAATTCACTTCTTGTTCCCTTCATAGTACCTTCTTTGTACTGATTTATGGTCTTTACCTTATCACTTGCCATTAGACCTTCTCCCTCTTGGAAACTAGCTAATCAAAAGTGGACACTTTTTCCATTTTACTTTTTTTGAAACTCTCCCCTTGCTTGCCTTATTTATTATGGGAGTACAATGTTTATGGTAAGAATTATGCATTGGTTAAAACTTTTACCTCACAGTAGTAGGCTACTGAATTAGAAGGAAATAATGTCTCGTGAAATTGAACTTATTCATTTCTTATGCCAACGTGATCCTTTTCCCTGATAGATATTGAAGACTGTGTTGGAGATTGTTTTATTTGAAGATTGTGGCAACCAGTGGAGCCTAAGTCGACCGATGCTGAGTATGATACTCATTAGCGAAGAGGTGACACTGATTTTTGTAGCACTAAGATTCCTTTCTTTTTATTATTTCAAAAACTACAAGATGCAAACTTGACTATGACAGGCACACAGATAAAGAGACAGTATCTACAATCTTGATTTCATGAAATTATAGTAGTTATGAAAACAAAGCATAACTTTATGAATGTTGATTTAATCAGAAGATTTAGTCCTGCATTTGCTGTTGAGATGTGGTCTTAGTTTTAAAAACTTCTATGTTAATTAAAGATCCAAAAATAGTCTCCCTATCCATTGTGCCAGATGTTGTCCCTCTGCATACTCCATTGCTTCTTTCTAAAAAGTTGTCATGGTTTAATGGAGTTTCCTTATGACCAATATTCCTTCTTAAAGCAATCAATTTAATCCAGTGGATTATTCGACTTTTGATGCAAAAGATCTATAGAGGGGGCTAACCATTTATATACCACCTGCACCGCAGATTTCTTGATATTTGTGATTTTGTCGATAGGACGAAATTATTTAGTGAATGCATTATATTATGAAAGCAAGAATGATTTAGATTCTAAAATGTGCTCATAGTGGAGAGGAATTGTTGGTTATTAGTATACCTGATACGATTATGACTCGCACCTTGCAGATGTTCTCAAACTTAAGAGCTCAGATTTTGTCTTCACAGGTATGACCAACAAATTTTTGTTAGGGATAATCTATTTTGTCTGTTTCTATATTGTTGGTTTATTTGGTATCACTGTTGCGAATATGTCTTTCTTCCTGCTACAAGGCGGAAGAGGTGGATTGGTAATTATCATTGTATCATGTGGAGCAATCCTTGCGGGACTGATGACCGATTCACTTGTGCTGACAGCTCCCATTTATCCATTTTTATTTGCAGCCAGCAGACCAACAACACCGTCTTTCACTGTGCTTTGACAAACTTATGGCTGACATAACTCGAAGCTTGGATCAGAAGAACAGAGATAAGTTCTCCCACAATCTGACTAGATTCAGGAATGAGTTCCGAACCAGATAATCAGAGTGATATCAGCAAGTGGTGAATCCCTTTAAACATACATACCAGCCTTCCCTGCGCCTACCCAAGCACATACAAAAAGAAAAGACGTAACAGGGGAAGGGAGAGCCAAGGAAAAACAAACATGAAAAATAATTTCAAGAAAAATGAAATAGTGAAGTTGGCTGAAGTTTTGTTCTCCCTTTGTTTTTCCCCAGCTGGTGAAATGCATTCTGTGAGGTGATTCTGTCACTTTTTGCTAAATCCGTGCTGTAATTTTTATCACAACAGTGTACAGTCCAACAACAGAAGATCTTTCTTTTTGCTATTAAGAATTTGTAGCATCTTGCTAGATTATAAGAATCTATTGGTGTAATGGTATTGCCTATGCATTAGCTATAGAATAGTTTCATACTAATGAAGAGCCTGTTTTGCTCTTGAGCCTCTGCCCTAGCCGCTTGGACCTTCATCAAATTACTATGCAGGATTTTGGCTTGGGTGTTTTATTTTGCCATACTTTGGGCAATCAAATTCCTTTTATTATTTGGTTTGTCACTGAAGAATCTTCCTATGGTCCACATTTGCCACTTTGATTGTAACAGGGCACGTATAGCCTGCATACTCGCAAGGAAAATCCTTTAAACTAGGAAATGACTTGAACAGTAAAGAATGATCTGACATGATTTCGAAATATAAATGCCGAAAAAATAGAAACATCAGTTTGAACACAAAAATCCATAGTATGCGAAGGACACAAAATCAATGGTGCAACTCTGATATAATGTTTGTCTGATACGATTGTCTGACCATAACTTGGATATAGATGAATAGATATATTGTATTGATATTATAAATCAATATGGATTTATATATAAATCGATCTATATCTATATTTTATATTTTATATTACTTTAAAAATATAAATTTTTAGTATGAATGTTAAATTACTATAATAATCCTAACTTAGGTAGTGACTAATTCGAAAAGTTGTGATTTTTTTCAAAGGGTTTGTGATTTTTCAGTGTTGTCATTTTCTCCAAAGAGTTTGTGACTTTTTCAATAAGTTGTGATTTTTCAAAGGATTGTGATTTTTCAATCAGTTGCAACTTTTTAAATACGTGACTTTGCAGATTGCCATGATTTTCCAGATAAGATATAAAAAACACCCATTTTAATTTAATATTTTGAATTTTTAATTATTATGATGTATAATATTTTTTTATGCAAATATCAAATATATATTCCTCTTTGTCCCAACATTTATGTGAGCACGTATGAAATATTGAGAGTCAAAATTTTTTAAGTTGTTGATATTACTATATTTTTGAAAATTTTAAATACATAACATACTTTAAAATAAAATAGGTTTTAAAAGAATTTTTAGATTTTACAATAGGAGAAGCCAATATTCCTATGATGCAGATAATTTGTTGTCTCACTCTTTCATTTTGTTGAGCGTTGTGTGTAGATAATTTGTAGGCAGAAGCAGTTTGATCAATTTGGTTCTAAGCTAGACGACTTTCATAGGACACCAATATCAAAATTATGTAGAGAATTCAAGTTAGCATACAAATGTTTGATCTAGTATTTAACTTGGTCCTTATAATGCAAAGCCCAGGTGAGATCATAGAGAAATCAATTCAACATCATAATATTTGTGAGGATCTTGTTAGTTTGGTACAAATATGGCTTGATAAACTAAAGGTATTAATTATCTAATTCTTTTGATGCACTAGGTAGATCATAAAAAAATACACGGAATTAACATCAGGGGACTAAATGTTTAGCGAGATCAACACCAAAAATGTCCCAGTTCAAATGATCTCAAAGATCAATAAACATAAACTAAGACTTGAATAGTAATACAATAAAAAAACAAGATTTCTGACCAACTCGAATGGCAAATGTAAGCATTTTAGAAGGCAAAATTAGATTAAAGCAAACCACATTAGTTCATAAGACCACAAAAGATATTCAAGAGATAGATAAGAGTAAACTATTGGAATAAGAATGCGGATAAACTATAAATGCTAAGTCATATCAGATGATCTTGGAAGCCTAGACCCGTTAATGATAACTTTAAACAATATCAAACTTAAATGCAACACATGAATCACAACGCAAATAGCATAGACGGGAACAACAAACAAAACTTAAAAGAGTAGCCAAGAAATACCATTACTGGCTGCAAACCCACAAGCTTCGGCTAGACCCGATACAAAGTCAAGCAGCAGATCCGGGAATAGGAGCAACAAAGAAATAACGATTAAGGAAACAACTAAGAACTAAAGTAAATGACTAAGAACAGTAAGAACGACCACAAAGCTACAAAATATTAATAGACCACAAATCTTCAAAGTTTTGAACTCGATATTATGCCAACTCAAGGAAATGACTAAGAACAATTAAGAAACAATACCCATCGCACTAAGACATCATAAACCCAACAGAAAACTAAAGGAAACAACCACAAAATGAGGATTTGATAACATCAGAAGACAACACATCGAGATAAAAGAATATACGAAGAGAAACACCACCTAACAATTGCTCAATAACCCAACATCCTGACAACTGCTCAATAACCATTTCATTTCAATCTTATTTCTACAAGTTTTGATTATCAAGATCCTCACATGATAGTTTAAGGATAATGCATAAGTACCCCTCAATTTATGTCCAAAATTCCAAAGACACACTTATATTATACTAAGGTCTATTACCGCCCTGAACTTGTTTTATAAGTAATTTTTTACCCCTTTTTGGCTTAAGTGACACTATCTTGTGGGTCCAATGCTGGTTGATTTTTTTCAAGCTCCAAAAAGGGGTAGAAAATTACTTATAAAACATGTTCAGGGGGTAATAGGACCTTAGTATAATATAAGTGTGTCTTTTGGATTTCGGGCATAGGTTAAGGGGGTACTTGTGCATTTTCCTAATAGTTTATAAATAATAACTCTATTTAACATTGAAAATTAAAAACACAACACTTCACATTATGTTAGTAAAATATCCTCTTAAAACTCCAACAAAAAATTGCAAAGCCACTCCGGCCTTCTATCCCGGTGAACAATGTTCCACTGATTAGGCGGGGACAGGATTCGAACCTGCAATCTTCAGGTCATGAGCCTGATGAGTTGACCAATTCCTCTACTCCGCTTCTTCCCCTTCTCTTTCGAACTCCGAAAACCAAGGTTCGACTTGCATGTGTTTTCTTCATCCGAACTAATATATACTCAAACGATCACCTAGACATACAATCTATAAAAAAAAGATTATCAGCACGTGAACGAGGAACTAGACTTATAAAATTAACTTTGTTAGATAATAAAGAACCGTAAAACTCTATTACCTATATATCAAAAGAATTGCAAAAATCTTATTCATTGAACTAATCGACACTCAAAGGAGCACCTGGACATTTTGAAAGGAAAAGAATTATTAGCACATCAAGGAGTAATTAGATATTGAATCACTTGTCAACTCAACTTTGTTAGATCTCAACTAGCATAAAGTTGGCAAAAATGGAGAATTAAGAATTAAATTAATAAAGTACCTTTTTGTAACTTCTTGCAATTTTATCCATTGTTGAGTACAAATAAGTGCTTCTAATGTCTTTGGTTATAAAGAACTCTGATATGAATCAAGAATACGACCACCTATATTGAAAATTGATTCAGATGCAACAATGGACACGGGAAAAGAAACAATATCCCTTGCCATTTTTGATATAGTTGGATATATATTCGATGAATTTTTCCACAAAGTCAAGATATTAAAATCATTTGGCTTCTCTACATTATCCATCAAATATTGATCAAGCTTAGATTTTTACCAATGTTTTCCTCACCTTCTAATTGTTTCTCCCATTGAGAAGGCAATATATCATCAACTTCACCCATAATGTTAGTGTCACCTCCAATGTTATCTGTAAAAGTTTTAGTTGAAGAATGATTATAGTGATTATACAAACATTTTAACACAGCTTCCACATTATTTGCCTTTAATTTTTCCTCTAAGGAGCCATATGCTTTGCTAAGAATGAAATTGACACATCACATCTTATACCTAGGATGCAACACAGTAGCAATGAACAACAACATGTTCAAATTTTCAGGTTTATCAATATTCTCCCAATATATATCAAACTTAACCTTCATCAATCCATGTCAATCAAAATTAGATCTTCGCCATAAGATTACTCAGTATAGAAATTCGAACATTAAAAAAATCATGAAAGAATAGATTAGAAGTAACATATAAGCTCCTTAAAATTTCAAATTACTAATAGAAGATTTTAAGAAACTTTATAAAACCTTTCAAAAACTGTCAATCATTTGTAGTTGGATGTCCTTTCATTGTCTTTGAAGACAATACTTTCAATAGTTATGATCATCCAAATACATTCTTGCAAAGACCTTTTTCAAAATTTATAGCAATTTCTAACATCATATATGTAGAATTCCATTTAGTTTAAACATCAAGACTTAAGAGACCATGAGTGTATAGTTTAGTCTTCTCAACATATGACTTGAAAGAGACAAACCTAGAAGCAGAACACTTGACATATTTAACTGGATTCTTTATGCAAGAAATTGACTCAATTTGTCATCTAAACCTTCTTTTACAATTATGTTCAAATTATGAGCATTATATCTAACATGTAAAAACTCATTTCTGTATATGACCCCTTTCCAATTCATCAATACGTGCCTTCAAATGCTTAATGGCAACATCATTGTCACATGCATTATCCAAAGTCAGTGTAAACAAGTTTTCGATTTCCCAATCCAACAAACATGCTTCAATATCTTTAGCTATAGTCTCATCCTTGTGATCCGGAGTTTGAAAAAAATTAAGAATTTTTTTTATGGAAGTTCCATTCATCATCAATCCAATAAACAGTCACGTCCATATACGTCGAATTTTGAATTGATTTCCATAAATCACTAGTAACACATATATGTTGATTCTTTGGAAAGTTTTTTAAGCTTCTCTTTCTCTTCTTGATCGATCTTCAAAAAATGTCTAGCCACAATTACCCGTGGAGGTAATTCAAAATTAGGCCGTCAATTTTTTGAAAACCTTCCCCTTCAATAAATTTAAATGGTTTTTCATCAATAATGACAAATTCGGCGATGACCCTCCTGATATCCTCTACATAATTTTTTTATACAACTTGTTCCATTTTCTCGCTCCCCCCTACTTTGATTGCTACAGTTCTCAAGGTTGTTTTTCTTCTATAAACAAATCTAAAGGTAGATTTGAGACGTATGTCAATTAAATGCGACCACAATAGAAAAGTTTCATTTGTTGTCTCAGCAGCAAAGTGTTTTACACAATAGTTATATTTTGCTCTTCGTTTTCCTCCTTTAGCAATAAATTAAGCAATGTGATCCCAAATCTGTGATGTTTCTCTCCCTGTATTACCATTTGTAGGATTGCAATCTATTGCGGTTGTTCTTTTTTTTCTATTAAGGAGGAGTGCAGAGATGAACAATGCTTTTACCTTTATTTTGAGGTATGGATACAACCGGAGGATTGTCGATAATCATTTCTACATCAGCTCCAGCCGTAGTCTCCATCTATGAAATCAAAACACAAAAAATTAAGACTTGTGATAGCAGCAACCACAATAAGTGACGATTTTCATTTATAAATTTATATTTGCAAGAAAGGAAAAAGGAAACATACCTGACTATCACCAAATAGATGAGCATATGAATGAGAAGAATAAGAAGAACAAAGATTGATCAACTTTTTGGAAGGTTCAAAGATTGAAAAGTGAAAAGTGAGAATATGACTAGTTTCTAGGGTTTAAATTTTTAGTTTATATTGGGCTTGGATTATTTCACCAATTAATGGATAAATATATATATAACTTACAAGTTATGATCCCAAATATGAATATATATCTAATTTGTACATATTGTAAATTAATAAAAATAATTTAAAATTATTTACGAAATAGATTATATAAATACTTTTATGCACAAAAAGTTAAAATTGTATATGTATTATGTCGGTTTGGGTTGGATTCACTTTGAATATTTTTTTTATTAATATCAAAACAAATCAAGAATGAACGATTTTTCTTTTCCAACGCCAAAACAATCAAACCAAATCATAAGTTGGTCTTTTTCTCATTTGACTTGGTTTATCGATTCGGTTTGACTTTATGTTTTGGTCTGTACACCATCAGGATTAGAAATGTCAGCCTGAGGGTTTTGATGCTCACCCTCACTCTTAAAAGTGGTGAGGTGAGTGGCTTAAATTCCCTCACTGTCGGAACTGACCCACGGTGACCCAAGAGCAGGTGCTTTTCCCTTTTCATTACCCTTTCCACCTGTGGTAGGAAGATTAATTTTGTTGTCTTGCCCTTTGTATAAAGTTGCATCCTCATTTAACATGATTACCTCTTCTCTCTTATGGGGTGACATATCTCTGGTCTAGCTATATTTGCAAAGCACATCGAAAAAATTTAGAAATACTTCAAAAAAAATGTAGACAACAAGTTGTAGAAAGACTCGCTGAACCGATCACTGAGTCTCTTAGGCGATCCAGATCGGGCTTGCTGAGAGAACTAGCTTAAACATTTTCTAGAAAAATGGAAGGTCGGCGACATTCAGGACCTTCGGTGAATCACCGACAACACTTGGCAAGCTCAAACTAGCCCGTCAAAATTAACAGTATTTTTAGGGGTTAGGGGCGCCAAAAGGGGGATATGGGGAGACTTTTGGCGAGTCACCGAGTAAACTCGAAGAGCTTAGGCTTCCCGCCACAAAATGAAGAATTTAAACTAGCCAAATCATGAAACTAAAGGCGATGAAAGGGGAATTTGGCGAACCGTTAAGTGGTTTGACGAGCTCGACTCTGCTCACCTAACTACCCAATATGCCAATTTTTGACCCCGCTTCCCAAAATCAAGTCCACATCCCTCACAAAACAAAATCAAATAACACACTTATTCAATTAATCCCATACCCATACAACCTATGCATCTGAGGTACTTAGACTTCCCCCGGTTTGGTCAAAATTGGCCATTTGACGACTTTTGTCCTTAAGAATGACTTCAAACGCTCCATCATTGGGAAAAGTACATCATTTAACACAATAGGGGTTACTTAGACTTTACCCTCACTAGACCCAACAACAATTTACCGCAACCCAATACTTTACAATTAATTTTAAAGCACCAAACTCAGGAAATCAACATTTTAAGCAATTAAGCACAATTATGAAACTACGATACACAAGCTAGCACAACAAATAAGATTTCAGGCCCAACATCCATCAATACAAATTTCTCAAGTGAATTCAAGTTTAACCGCTATTCAAGAGTTCAGGGTTCGGAAAACCAACCTTTGAGCCAAAATAATAGTTTGAAACGCTAGTCGACAATGAGATCCAACTTTGAACACAAGACCAAAGAGAAAAAAGCGATAAAAATGCAAAATATACAAAATCTAAAGTGTTGGTGCGATTGTGTAAGCTAAAACGATGGAATATGAAAGAGTTCGAAATTTTAAACCTTTGGCCTGTTTGCGGCCCATTCGACATGTTAGTCATCGTCGTCGAATCAGTCGGTGATTCATCGACAGATAACTTTCCTCGCCGAGTTTTACAGGATCTCTAGTCAATTTTGGGGTTCAAAATGGCGGACAAAGTTAGGCTCGCCGACCTATTCAGCGAGTCACCGACTCATCGATAGATATACCAAGTTTTACACACTCCAACTTGATGTTTCCCTAAGTCCGACTATGGTCCAAGTTGGGATCGCCGAATGGACTCTTTGCTCGCCAACCTGCATATTTCAAACTCATTCGATATTTCAACGTGCACAATTGTCACCCAATATTCAAAATAAAAACACAAAGCATTAAAAACTTGGTTGCCTCCCAAGAAGCGTCTTAGTTAACGTCGTGGCACGACGCAAGTACCCATTCAAACTTCATTCTTGGGGTTTTTCATAGTATCACTAGACAACTCACCTTATTGTCTTGGGTCAAGATGCGAAGAGATCTAACTCATTTGGGTCTCCAACTGATTTATAGAGACGGAATGGGAGGTCACCGTCTGGTTGAGAGTTTATCAATCTTCCTTCATTTCCTTCAAAACTTTATCGGACCCTTCAATCTTGTTGACAATACGTGAGAGCATATCAGTCCGGCCACTCTAGAATATTTAGGCTTTCGACGCTCTTTTGGAGAAACATACCTATCCTTCTCCCCATCTCTTTCCTTCCAAGTGGAAATACATTTTTTAAAGAATGTGGTCAAGTTAGCCATATGAATAAAAATATTACTTTATCGGACCCTTCAACCTTGTTGATAATATGTGAGAGCAATACATGTTTCAGATTCAATTGGGAAGTATGAACGTGGTCAAGTTAGTCATAGGAATAGAAATTATGGATTAAAGACATAGAAATTACTGGGTGACATGAATGTCAAATAGGGGTTTTGGTTTTGATTAACAACTAAAAATTGTCACAAAGAAAGTAATAAGAATAATAATAAGTATACATTATTATTTTAAATTTTAAAAAATAAAAATTCTAAGTATTACCATGTATTTATTTCTTCGAAAAATAAAAATTCATAATCATTAATAGCGAGTTTTAAATTTCCCATTACATTCTCACTTATTATACACAAATTCTAAAAACTCATTAATATAGAATTAATAAATGTATCAAAATTACATAAAAATAAAAAATTAAAATTTATTTGCAAACTCACTAAATATGGTTACTGCAAAATAGTAAATCACATTTTTTACTCCTTTTAAATAGCAATTATAAGTTCAATTTTTGTAGTGATTAATTTAATTAATTTTTCTCTTATTGTTACAACTTATAATGATATTAGTGATGAAATGACTTTAATTATCAGTTGAACTTTTAAACTATTTCAAAGTATCTAAATCACAACCAATTTATACAAATTATTTTTGAAAACCCATTAGTTTAAACAATTTATCAACAGTTACTTTGTAACTTTTTTTTTTGATTTTTAATACATTCTAAATTAATTATGTAATCTGTAATTTTATTTAATAATTAATTACAATTTAAAAAACAAAACATAAATTTTAAATTTTTATTGTAATTGATTGAAAAAATCTTTGATTTCATTTTAAAAAAAGGTATAATAACTCCTAAAAGAAGAAATATTTTTATGTTTTCTCCTTCTTTTTTGTGTAAAAATCAAAAGATAACCTCTTTTTATTACACTAGTCACTCCAAAATGAGTCAACTTATCGAGCCTTTCAACATAAATGCATTTTTATGTAGCAGATAAAATGATCTAAGTGGTCAAGTAAGAGAGGGATATATGTCTTGAATGGACTCAACTCTTATTTTGAGGCTCACTAAGTTATATGCAAATGATGCAAATAAGCGGAATCTTCTAGGATAACCATATTCTAGATTTACTAGGTTAAAACCTTAATAAGATAGGTATCAACACTGGCTTACCCGAGTGGAAAGCTCGAGCTAGGGAGGGGTAACTTATCGGTAGCAGTGCCTTTCCGACTTCATTATTGATCCAACTCCACCTAACATGTGTTATTAAAAATCCTTCACTGGGTGTCAAGACACTCCAGCTTTATCTCAAGGGAAAGTAGGATGCATAACTGCATTCATGTGAGTGTGTGTAAACTGTTTTCAGACTCATAAGGTGTAACACCGTGAAAATTCAAAACGTGTCGTAAAGATTAACATAGGTTTCATAAGGTCTAAGTACTATTTCTAAGTCCATTTTTAATGAACATAGGTTATTTAGGAGGTTTAAGAACCAAAACGTCCATGACATCCGGAAAGTTGGCTCAAAGGGGTGTTAGTGTGTCTTAACCTATTTGACTAACTTTTAGGAGTCAGAATGGTACAAAAATTTGTGAAAGGTAGCTAATAGGTTTTAGAGTTGTTTTATGGTTGAAACGTTCGGGTATGAATCCCCAAGGACAAACCAAGGGCCCTTGAGGAGGACCCTAGTAGTTTGATGCAACACTGCCTGTCAGTGTGCATTGACGAGACAGAAAACGGCCCAGGTGTGGATTAATAGGGCATCGATGCCACCATTGTCCCACACTTAGACAATAAATGGAATACCCTCTCTTGCACAGTCTCTGAACTCATCGACGGAGTGCAGGACGAGAGGGGTGCGGGACCGTCGACTCACAGACGGCCCATCGATCGAGGTTTCGTCTGTGAGGGTTGAGTTTTCTACCTAATTTAAGTTAGTCTCATTTAATTAGTTAGAGGTTTAGGTGATTTAATTATGGGTTAAAGGAGTCTAATTAATATGATTGAAGACCCAATATAAATACTTCCAACCCTCATTAATCTAAAGACAACTCTACGACCTTACTTGAACAGGATCTGTTCTATAGGCTCGTACCATTGTATTCTTAAATTCTAAAAAAAAAAATACAACTCTGAAATAAACTCTCTTTCTTCTCTCTTCTTTCTCTCTCTACTTGAACTCACCATTGAAGACTAGCAAGGATTAGGGTTCGGAGGATGGAAAGGGACGAATTCACCATCAAATTGTTTCCAAACGTTAAGGTATGTGTTCTATTCACTTTTAAGACTCTTTCCTCAAAGGGTTCCTTCAAAATAAATTTCAATAGTTGAGTTTTCTTATGAGTTTCATGCAACTACGAAATTGAAGTTATGAATTGAGTTGTAAATGATTTTTTTAGGTTATATTGATTATATTAACATGTAATTCAACTCTATTATGGTAATTGTTAGTGGTTTGGTCTAAATTGAAGAATATGAACCTTCATCCCTAACCCTAAGTTGTGATCTTGACCTATATTGTATTGTGAT